ACACCATTGCCACGAGCTTCAAGGGCAGGACGCTGTTATGCATTGCCCATCGTCTGCGCACTATCATCGGCTACGATCGTATCTGCGTCATGGACGCCGGCCGTATCGCGGAGCTGGATACGCCTCTTGCGCTGTGGCAGCGGCAGGGTGGCATCTTCAGGAGCATGTGTGACCGCAGTGGCATCAGACTGGAAGATATTCGCGGCGCGAGCGAGGGTACTGCTTCTCTGGAAATCCAAGCTGGCGGGTCGAGTTAGTCGAGAATATAGTGAGGTGGCATTGTAAGTGAATGTAAGGGGACAAGATAAAGTGAAACACATCCAGGAAGAACAAATATGGCCCCTCAAGAAAGAAGGCAAGAAAATCGTAGGGAAGATAGCGTCTGGGACAAGTTAATTTCATACCCCGCCCTCCAAATACCACCAGCATCGAGAATGTCTCGCTGTAAATCGAGGGCGTGTAATACAAAATAGAGAGAAAAAAATGATAAGAAAGAGAGACCGCACACCGACGCTTCCCACACAACGTGATGTGAAGCCCCTCATCAAACTTGTATCACCCGTGATTAAGTCGTCACTGCTGCTGCTGCTGCTTGCTAGCACAACCCAACAGGTGTCCCAAAGGCTTGGACAGCCAAGAGATCGCAAGACCGAGAAAACAAAGAACTGAAAATGTCTCTCACACTCACGATTCCACAACGTTGCCCCCCCCCCCCTCTCTCCGGATTCAGGTTGTACGGAAAGGGGGTAGACCAATCGTGATACATGGCACTGGAAAGGTGTGACGAGATCCGGTGGGTTCACGACGGGTAGATGCACCTGGTACTCCATACGCCGGCTGCGGTCGCAGATAGTCAAGCAAGGATGTGGAAAAGGAAGTTTACTACTTTGAGAGAAGAAATGGGGGGGAGGGGAGCGATATAGGAGTCTCTTGATGGAGGCAGAGACCGTTGGGGGTCAAGGTATGTCGTGTGAGGCACTCGTCTGTGATGGCGGAATTTCGGTTGCTTTGGAGGTACAAGACGAGAAAGGTTCGGAGGTGTAAACCCCCTCCTTCTTCCCCTTATCACAGGCACGTATGAACAGAAAACCCTCGGGTGATGATGGGACATACCATCCGTACCATGCGACGTTGCTCTCGGTCCGCTCGGTTCCCTCTAGCAGCTCCAAATCCGAAGTAAAAAAAAAAAGAGGCTCATATTTCCTTTTTTCTACGGAAAGCTCCCCCCCCCCCCTTGCCCACGTTGTGTCAAAAAAGTTTAATAGATTGAGATGATTGCCGATAAAGTCAAATGGGCTGACGACATGGGATCACTTCTAGAACATCCGTCCACTTCAGACGTATCTGTACACAAGGTTTCCCATGCAGAAGCATGTTGTCAGCGGTTGTCGTGACGACATGTACACAGAACTACAGCTCGATGGCCAGTAAACATCACACGATATTGTCCAAAGATATGTTTCGAGTTTTTCTGCTCATTGAAAGAATATGTACCAGCGAGCGATGAGAAGCGAAGACAAAATGCCACCGGCGGATCGTCGTCACCAAGACTCCCAGTCTAATGCTCCGTCACGCCTGCCGTGGTGTACACAGGGCCAAAATACAACTAGACAACCAACCATGCGTAGCAGCCCTGTTAGAAGGGGAGCCAGATTTGCCTTTTGACCCGCGCTCCATCTCAAACTTGCTGAAAGACGGGTACCGAGAAAAGCCCCCGGCTTCACTGGATGATGATTAAAAACAGTATTCCAAACCAGTGATGCAACTTGATGATACCCCTTAACGCCATGAATGTACCATTCAAAAAACCCCAAGCCGTAACGTCTCGCCATTTTTTCATGACGTAATGAAACTGTTTTTGATGCATAGATGCAATGAAACCAAACAGAAAGGATCCCCTCATTAAAACCGACCACCGGGAGAGTTGTTGGCATTTCGAGATCCGGGGCGCATGTCGGGGCGCATCTGGCTTGGCGGGAAAGCATTGGGGTTCTCGTCCAAGAGATCCTCGAGGTAAGCACTGGGAGCTCTTTGGCCGTTCCCAGGCGCCGCAGACAAGTTGACTGAGCTGGTGCTGAAGTCACGCCTTGCGCCGTACGAAGGGGATTCCGGAGGCGTAGATTCCCTCAGGTTGTTGCGGCTTCCATACTGGCCTCGTGATTCGGGGCGGAGGTTCGTCAAACTTATTGAGTGACCGTGAGCAGGACTGGGAGACGAGGTAGCAGCGGCGTAGAACCCAGAAGGAAGGAAGCGAGAGTCGCGGTTGGTGGCGGAGTTGTTGTTATTGTTGTTGCTGTTGCCGCCGCCAGCTGCGGTAGGCGAGAAGAAGAGATTCGACTGGCTCGGCGTCGCAGAGGGGATGGGGCCGCGCTGCGTTCTACGCACACCACGTCCTCCATTGGGAACAAGAGAGGGAGTGGATTCGCGATCGGTATACTTGTAGAACTGCGCTGGAGGGGCGGGGAAGCTCTGCTTGTCGTTGGCGACATACTGGGCATTGGCGGCGCGGGCGACGGAGCGGTGCAGCAGACAAGCGATGATGCCGCGCCAGATCAGAATGCCGAGGCCAAAGGCACCGAGGATGGAGCCTACGGCAATGAAGACGGTCCCTTGAGGGGCACTCGAGCGGTGCATATAAGGAGCGTTGTTGGTGGGAGGGACACTGGCCGGCGGGTATGTCGTCACAATAGGCTGGTTTGTAAGGGACGGCAGACCCGTGAGGACATCGCCAGTGGAATCGGAGGTGCCGGTGATCCTGGGGGCGGTGATGCTCTCTTCCGTTGTGGCGACGGCGCCCGTGTTGGTGATGACGGCGGTTGCCGCGTTGGTGCGCGAAGGCTGCGCAGCCGAGGTGGTGGCATCGTCTGTAGAAGCTGCCTGCGAAGCACTGGTCTGGGCATTCCCCCCACTGCTACTATCTTGCGCAAGACCCGTGGCAGAGAAGAGAGACAAGGCGGCGAAGGTGGACAGGAGAAGCGAGCGCTTCAGCGAATGGCGTGACAAAACCATGGTCGGTCGAATATGAAGTTCAATTACGTCCGAGGAGGTCCGGTGTTTACGGGTAGGCTGCGATGCTCCGGAGTCAAGATGATGCAGGCGTCGGTCACTTCTTTTCTAGACACTATATGCTGTTCGGTTGTCGAATCGATGAAAGAAGGTCGAAGACGGCGATTGTATCGGTGCCCGTGGGCAAAAAACGGGGGTGGTGGTCGTTGTGGTGTCCTTCCGGATGGGGCGGTTCGGTTCGTTCAGCTGGCTAAGGCTGGATGCGATGAACTCGGGAGAATCGAACGAAGGTATCGGGGTAGTTGCGGACGCAAACTGGACAAGGCAAAGCAATATGAAAGAAGAAAGGGTCCCGCTGGTTAGAACATTGCTGGTGCCGGCTGATCGTTTGCTGGGTGGGCGGCTGCCGAGGTTTGTCGTGAGGGAGTCAGTTAGGGAGAAAGGGTTGGAGGGAGCAGGAGAGGGACGGGAGGGATGAGGGTGCGTGATGGGGAAGAGAGAAGGGAATGGATGGCGAAGGCGGGCCCCTGGTCAGCAGGGAACGGGCCTGGGGAAAAAAGGAGGAAGGGTCCTTGCCTGCTCTGGAGGAACCTGCCCGCTGCACACAGCACACAGGCGACAGTCTATGGCATCCATTTCGTGTTAGCGGACTGGGCGGTTCTCGTCCCTGCCCTGGGGCCTGGGCTGTGGCGCGGCGCATTTCCAATGGCTGCACCTGAAAGTTCTGACGTGCTGTTGTGTCGGGGTCTGTTTATTTTTGTGCATTTGGACCGCATTTCCTGGGAATGCGAGAGGGAGAGAGACATGCAGACACAGTGCTGCCAGCGTATGCAAGCCAGGTTTTTGACCTGCAGGAGACGCGCAAGTCTGGGGAAATAGACACGGTGTGTCATCTGTACACACTATGCTACAAGACTGTACTAAAGTAGCCCTCCTTCTTTCGTGCTTTTCGTATGCCCACCCACACTGGGCGCTCTCAACGCTCGTATTGAGGATCGAGGTGTTCAACAGGCGAGAGCGTTGATCCCACTAATCGTCAACTCCCAGCATGCGCTACAGTGGCTGCAGGTCGCAACCATCATCAACACGAGCCATCCATCCGGGGTAAGCGTGTAAGCGTACCTGGCAGATGCCCACCCATCTACCCAATATTGGCCAAAGATCTTCGAAACTCATTGGGAAAAAAAATATGGGCCATGAAGTGATGGCAAGCCTCGCTGTGGAATGCGAATGATGCCCCATTCCTCTCCACCAGAGTCCCGGTGGTCCCCTATCTTTGCTGCTTCGCTTCGTCTTCGCGTTCGTCAGACCTCCAGTGCTCCAGCAGTTTACAATTCATGCCGCATGCTTCAGACTAAAGCAAGCTCATGAATGGGCGCGGCGGGTATCAGACCCGTCTCTGATTATAATGGGCTGCTATTATGCATGCGCAGGGCAGTGCACAGAAGTGCTGATGCAAGGCACCAGGCTATCAGTCCAGACTCCAGCGCGACGCCCACCTTGCCTCCGGCGTTTGAGCGCCGTTGATCGATCGTTTGCTTTTCCTCGAGGTGGGAGAGGAAATTGCAACGTTAGAAAGAGCAACGCCCGACAGCGGACAGAGGCAGAGAGGAAAACTGTGGCGGACGAGACCCCCTGCCATTCGTCCACCTCGGTCCCTGAGAGTCTCATTGTCCCCTCATTCCGGTTGCTCTGGGTCACCCTCCCTAGGACCCACCTTGCTCGCAAACGCTGCGCGGCCTTGCCCAAAGTCTTCACCGAGCGCACAGACTGGAAGTATCTTCACCTAGACCTGGACGCGACACACCGAGATCACCCTCAGTCCTACACCGAAAACTTTTTTCCCTGCTCTCGGCCCCGCCACATGCGCCGGGCGACCAAACTCAGGAAAACGTCAACGCAACAGCCTTGTCCAGCCTCGCAGACGACAGTACTCCTCCACTCGACGACAACAACCACGACCTGTACCCGATTGCCCATCCGAGACCGACACCATGGGTGTTCAAAAGAAGACCAGAAAGTTTGGTGAAGTACGTTCGTTCGTCCCTACTTTGCGCCAGACATCCCGCGCATTGCAAAGAAAATATTGGAATCCTTATCGATAAGAACTTTTTTGGTTCCCGAACAAAAGTTCACGATGATTGCGATATCTACAACCGGACGTTGGAAGCTCGGCGTCTCTCAGACACTGATACTTGCGAACAAGTTTGCTGATTATATACGTTCATGCTAGGTCAAGCGAGTCATCGGCAAGAACGACGCCCGGCGCAAGGAGAACCTGAAGAAGGCGGAAGAGGCAGAGCAGAAGGCCAAGCGTGAAAGAGGCGGTCCAGATGGCGAGACCATCGTCAGGGAGATTCCTCAGGTCCCCTCCCAGATGTTCTTCGAGAGCAACTCAAGTCTCGTGCCTCCCTATGGCGTCCTCGTCGATACCTCATGTAAGGCCCCGTCGCCTCCTACCTACCGTCATATTCCAGTTGCTAATCGTACTCTAGTCTTCTCCCGGTATAACATGCCTGCCCGAACGTTACACCTCTCGCCCTCGACGACTAACCTGCCCCTAGTACCGTTCAGATGAAGTTGCCAGTGATAGAAACCATGATGGACTGTCTCTATGGTAGGATACGGCACTGCACAAAGTCTTGTGGCATCGACTGACGTCCGACCCCAGCTACCTGTCACCCCATCGTGACCGACTGTGTCATGGCCGAGTTGGAAAAGCTCGGTCCTAAGTTCCGCCTTGCTCTCAGAGTAGCACGCGACCCTCGTTTCGAACGACACAAGTGCACACACAAAGGCGTAAGGTCCATTACAAGCACCATCATGGTTCTCTTTTGCTAACTACATTTCCCCACAGGTGTACGCCGATGACTGCCTCGTAAGGCTCCGAACCCCTTAGATCATCAGATGACTGGGTCCAAATACTAATTAACGCTTCATAGGTGTCCAAGGTGTCTAAAGACAGAGTGTACCTCGTCGCAACCAACGATAAGGGTCTTGTGTCCAGAGTACGTTCAGCCTTGCCCGAAAGTCAACGACGATGCTGATATCAACCTCTCTAGCTCCGTCGCATACCCGGTGTTCCTATCATGAAGTGTGGACGCGGAAAGTACACCATCGAGAGATTGCCCGATGCCCCGATTTAAGCTTGGATCAACCATGTCGGAGGGAATCCACAGTCATTCCAATAGCGCGGGGAGAACATCGAGTCACATGAACAGTACAATGATAGGACTGTCAAGTTAGAAGAAGGGGTTGAATGTTGTGGCAGCCCAATCACTCGACACGGATAGGCGATTGAAGAATCGTGGAAATCGAGAAGATCACCGCATCGAGTGGCGCGCCGAGCCCTGGAAATGGAGGTCGGCGAAGGAGAAGCAAAAGCATATCTGGGATCTGTTTTGTTGGCATTTTTTCTCAAAAAGGTCGGGTCGTGATGTAATTCGACCCAGCCATCATATATCGTGGATTGGCACTTTGTAATTACTGGTATGGAACCTTGGTGGTCGTCAAAATGGTCGGGGTTAACCACGCCGTATCCCCGAGACTGGCCGACGGATGGAGCCGTCAGCTCATAGTTGCCTAGTAGGTGGTTCTTGGCCGCTTTTTTGAATCAAAAGAATGACCCAAACATGACTTGCATTCTGCTGCATTCCAGGACGGAGTCACCTATAGACGCACACGCAATTCCTCCGAACACGCTGACACAGGACGACCCACGCCGTCAGCCGTAACTAAAAGAAGAGACAAAATCCGGCTCCGGAAGTGACGTCAAATAAAGTTTAGATTTCCGGATTTGAATACGGACGGCATCACCCCCTTTCCAAAGCCCCACCCCCCGTCTTTCCCGTCACACCCACTCACACACGGCGTCGGGCACGGCATCGGACGCGGCCTTCCGTTTCCTAATCGTCCGCTCACCGCGAATCGCCCAAGGGTATCCGTAAGCTCCGATGAATCCGGACCACGTAACCCCGCCCGCCGGACCAAGCACCGGCGGCAGCAGCAACCCCTCCTCCACCTCCAACTCCTCCGGCCCCGGCCCCGGACAGTCATTCTCTACCAACCACTTAGCATCAGGACCGGCATCAGCAGCAGCAGCAACCGCATCGGCAGAAGCCGCCGCCGCAAAACGCTCCCGTGTCCTTCTTTCCTGTGGACCGTGCCGCGCATCCAAGCTGAAATGCGACCGCTCCGAGCCGTGCGGCCAGTGCCTGAAGAAGTCCCGCCCAGAAGGCTGCGTCTACGCGCCAAAACCCGAGAAGCAGAAGCCCGCCAAGGGCATGGCGGCGCGGCTCAAGAGGCTCGAGGGCATGGTGAGGACGATGATGGATGAGGGAGGTGGAGGTGGCGCGGCGGGAGCAGGAGGACCGCAGACTGCTGGTGGTGCTGCCGACGTCGTCGAGGAGGAGAAGGGCGTCGCGCAGCCTGGGGGCCAGCTTGTTCAGGGAGGTAGGGCGAGTACGTATGTTGGGGCTACGCATTTCATGGCTATTCTTGAGGATGTAAGTTTGTTGTTCTCTTCATGCCCTCATTGGTTTTTTCAAGGTGGGAAGGAGATCTGAACTGGATGAGATATTGACTGAGGGAATTTGACAGATTGAGGATATGAAGAGCTACTTTGAGGAGCCGGAGGCCGACGACGATGAGAGTCCTGAACCGTCAGACGAGATCGAGGCCCCGGATCTCATGCTCTTTTCGAGGAACACGCCTCGCAGCAGAGAAGACTTATTGAAGCTACTCCCGGAGCAAAAGATTGTCGACAGACTCATCATGAGGTACTTTTCCTCCCGTAGTCCGTCACAGCGTAAGACACCACGGCTCGCCTCTCCCGATCTTCACTCCATGGCTTCGTGTGTATTGACAAGGCGGCAGATATTGTTCACAGACCAACCTTTGAAAAACAAGTAAGTCTCTAACCTCCCTTCTGCCCTCCCCCTCTCCTCCCTTCAACAGCAACTCGTGCTAACAACTTCCCTCCAGTACGCCCGCTTTTGGACCGACCCGTCCGGCACCGACCTCCACTGGCTAGCCCTCCTCTTCATGGTCATGTCCCTCGGCGTCTTCTACTCGACCTTCATGGCGCCCCACGAGCTCTCGGTCGACTCCCCGCAGCCGCCCATGGACCGCTTCAAGCTCTTCCGCGCCGCGGCCGCCTGCTGCCTCGTCTGGGGCAGGTACACCCGCCCCACCATCGCCACCATCCCGCCCTTCATCCTCTACGTCGAGGCCGAGTTCATCATCTCCCGCGCCGCCCAGATGAACTGCTACGTCCTCTCCTCCGTCTGCCTCCGCCTCCTCCTCAAAATGGGCCTCCACCGCGACCCGGACCGCCTCCTCGCCGCCGGCGGCACCCCCGTCTCCCCCTACGAGGGCGAGATGCGCCGCCGCATGTGGAACATGGCCGTCCAGCTCGACCTCCTCGTCTCCTTCCACATGGGCCTCCCCAGCATGCTCAACGGCATCGACGCCGACTGCAGCCTCCCGCGCAACCTCGTCGACGAGGACTTCGGGGAGGACACCGCCGTCCTCCCGCCAGCCCGCCCGGCGACCGACTACACGGAGATGACGTACCCCATCAACAAGTCCGCCATGATGCTCGTCTTTGGCCAAGTCGCGCGGCAGTCCCACCTGCTCTCCCCGCCGCCCTATGCCGAGGTCATGCGCCTCGACGACCTCCTCAACACCTCGTGGCGCGCCGTGCCGCAATTCATGATGGTCAAACCCTTGCAGGAGTGCGTCACCACACCGCCCATGCAAATCATCCAGCGCTTCGGCCTCGCCTCGCTCTACAACAAGAGCCGCTGCGTCCTCCACCGCCGGTTCCTCCTCGACCCTGCACCGCGGCGCGAGCACGACTACTCGCGCCGCCAGTGTCTCGAGGGCGCCGTCGTCCTCCTCGACTTCCAAAACACGATATGGCACGCCTGCCAGCCGGGCAACATGCTCAGCCAGAACGGCTGGTTCGTCTCCTCGCTCGCCGTGCACGACTTCCTCCTGGCCGCCACCATCATATACCTCGCCGTCGGCCATGAACCGTTTTGGGGCGTGGACAAGACGACCGGCGCAACGTCTTCGCCTGGGTGGATGGCGGAGATGAACCCCCCGCCGACGAGGGCGTACCTCCTGCATCTTCTGCAGAGGTCGTATTCCGTCTGGATCGCCATCGCCGGCGGCGTGCCCGAGGTGAAGAAGACGGCGGGTATCTTGGAAACGATGCTGAACAAGCTTGGGTCGCCGCCGAATTCTCCTCCAGAGGACGGGGGCGCAAAGGTATCCTCGGCGTCGGGACTTCGCCAGAGTGACGGGTCGGAAACAGCGGCTCGTTCCGCCCAAGACAACCAACAGCTCCTCGACGGTCTTTCAATCAACGGTGCGGCCTTGAAGACACCCCCTAGGGTGATATACCTGCTAACTATCTGGCAGACTCCGCATCGTTCCCTACGACTACGACGAATCGCTTCCAGCCCTTTGAGTTTGTCACATCGGGTCTCGGGCCAAGTGAACCTGGGCTCGATCGTGGGTGGGCGGCCGTTGGCAATGAAGAAATGGACTGGGTATGCTTTACGCACTCACCAAGCAGAGCCGTAAATCTAACTGACATCTGCAGCGATACTTTGACAACATTATGGCTCAGCCTCACAACGACCCAATCGGTCTCGAGTCACTGGACGCGTCCCAGCCGTGGTTCGAACGGACACTGGGACCGGACGAGTTTGATTTCTCTACGTCTTGTGCATGGGATCCAAGCTTGGGATAGTCAATCACGTCGAGGTCACGGCCTACCGTGTTCAAGTTGACCAACACAGCGAGCTTCCAGGCCTACATAGTAGAAGACTTGGCAGCTGAACGGAGCTGATCTGGGGCACACAAGCATCGTCCTCGCGCTTGGCCGGCCCAGAAGGGGTACATGGGGCTGCGGCCCCGCGAGCTCCTCCAAAAGAAGCTCCTCCTCTTGGGTAAAAGCCGCTCCGGTACCTCCAGCCCCAGTGCAGTAACTGGCTCGCTTAGGTGTCAACTGGACCTCGTGAAGTTTTTCTCCTCCTCAACACGCGATATCGGTGCCCACAACCAAGATGGGCCCGTGGGGGATAGCAATCCATTGCTCTGATGGATCTTGCTAGCTGGCAGGGATGTCAAAAAAGCTCGGCTCAGGTGACTTGAAAATAGACGCGAGGTTGGCGTTGGACATCAATTCACAATGGACCCCGGATTTTCCTTCTCCTTCGGGTCCGCGCCAATATCTAAACATCTGGCTGGACCGATGGTGTGCGATGTGCGGCCGTCCTCCGGGGAATTGGACCCTGCAAGCTCGATCAGGGGTTCTCTGGGCGGTCGACACAACGTGAATACTATAACGTAAATTTGGTGGGCCGGTGGAAGTGGCCGGCGGCGACGTGCGTTTGGAATCCCAACAATGTTGTCTTCGACAACGGCGAGAGCCATCTAGGGCGTGTTTCGGTCCTACACTACATGTGTACATCTCGTCGGCATCGTCTCCATACACTCTTCGGTCAAGGGCACGACGTTGCCGATGAGGGAGCTGGCGTGCAACGGTGCCCTACGAGGCATGGGCCAACTTCCCCGCAAAACCCGCAGATTTGACGGCAATGAAGCGGGGGCTGTTTGCATTAGCAGCAGCACCTGGAGACTGGAGCAGCTGGGGCCCAGTGGCGCTTGTCCTTTGAGCTGAGTTGGCTCTCATGCTGGGCTGCTTCTTTCTCTTGGCTGTTTGTGGTGTGTTACGCAAAAAGCCGAGTTCTTTTTTGGAAAGACGGCCAGACTGCGAACGCAATGACAAGCTTCTTGGGCGCAAATTTGGAGATTTGCAGGCTCCTCCGCGGAGATACCCACTTCGGAGAGGGAGGGGAAACGTTGGCTTATGAGCATTACGGAACGCCAGTTGGTTCGCTTGATGACGGCATGGCGGTCGTCTGGGACGTTTGCTTGGCTCCATTTGTACGTAATGAAGGAAAATGCGGTGCGAGCAAGGTCGGCATTGCGCGATTCCTGGGTCGCCATTGGCGCATTCTTGCTCGTGCTTGACCTGTCGTCTCAGCTCTTTGTCAATCAGATTACGGATACTGGCGCCTCCCGGGTTCCGACAGCTAGGTTGAGGTTGACTAGGTACTCTTTTGTTATTTTTTTGTCCGCCAGCCTATTGTCTCGCCATCTCCGGTGGCTCGTTACCGGACCGCATTCAGAAGGGAGTTGAGCTTCGTCCCAAGGCACTGGATCCGATCGTTGATGACGAAGGTCCTAGTAGACAACGATCACAAATGCTGCACGTCTAGACTTTCAGCAGAAGCAGGTTCCGCCTCAAAGTCCGCGTTAGCCTTCAGGGATACCCCGCTGGGTTGCGTTTGAATCCTGCGGCTTGGCCTAGGCCATTCTTCGATTTTTGAGGGTGTCTTCTCACATCCAATGTTATTAGTCGGAACGTCATCGGAACCGGAATTCTGTGGATTTCAGTGTGAGCACACGGGCGACAGCGCCTTTACCTTGATCCTTTCCCTCCACGCCCGTCATAGTACATGTCGCACCATACAACAGCATAATTGGCTGATAACAACGACGCTCCCATGACCAATGGCATTACCCGCGTCAGGCTCGAATGGAAATCGAGTAGACGTTGGGTGCGCCTCCGTGAAGGCGGTTACTCGACGACGCTTCTGCAGCCGACGTGCATGAAGGGCCCTCAAAGACAAAATAGGCGGCGTTGTGATGCGGTGCTAGGTCGAACCCGGGTGATGCAGCAAGCGCTGTAACCGGTGGGAGCGTGGCACGGGTAGCTCAGCGAAGAGGCTAATCTCAGACCTGCAGAGAGCGTGGCCAGAGGCTAGAGCCCAGATGCTAGTGTCTGCATGTGCGGTGGGTGGGAGATTCTGGAGGGTGTCTGGTTGTGCAGCGAATTTGCCCATCATGGCGTTGAATTGCGATATTCCATGATTCTTCTGCCTGGGAGCTAGCAGTGGGACCCAGCCATCCGGGCCAGGGGGGCCATGCTGTACTCCGTATGTAAGAGGGGAGTCAGGAAGATAGCGCGAGAACCTGGTTGAGCATCGGGGACGGAGGTATGTGTAGGTGTAGGGTTATGCGCATCTGGTATCCGTAGTGGCATGGTCCCAAGGCTTGAGCTTTGGACGTAATAATGAAGCGGTGGGCTCTGTGATGGTGGACGATGCAGATTTCCTTGGATCACGTTTGCGAGTCGTGTGGAGCTCTGAGCCAGAAAAAGTTTGCACAGGGTTCGGAGAGTATTGTGGCATCGGGATTGACTCCGATCACCGACCGACCTGACGACGCGCCAGTTGACAGTATGTGGAGAAGTTGATTTGCGCCGGGGCCTGACCGGCGCAGTAGTGCTTAAAATCAAGGACCCCGTGATGAACGACCGTGCTTGTAATAGGGCCCGTGAACCGACAAAGTCGGACTCATCAAGGTGCCCTTATCTGATGAGTTGTCGGTATGTGAGGCCATAGTCCAAGCCAGGCAAGCATCTGTGTCCCAGTCCAGATAGGCATGAGGGACCGGTATGGAGGGAGGCGCAGACACCCGATATCCATGGGCGGATGTCTCGGTCTGATGTGATGATGTGATGGCAGGTCGAACCCGTCAGGGTAGGTAGGTTCGTGTTTGACAGGCAGTGGCTGTACGGAGCAGACTGTAGTCGGTGAGCATATCGGAGGGCCACATTGATACTTCAATATGGCATTCATGCAAAACGTACGTACGACGTACGATGTACGACTACCTACCTTACCTTACGCCTTGCGTAGCATGGAGGGACGATAAGAATGCTATGCCCCAAAAGGTTGTAAGTAAGGTATTGTACCCATGTACTCCATCGTGACCGCCCTTGATGTCCCTGACGCCTTGGGAGACAATGGCGGCATTACATGGGCTTGGTTGCATAGGTTTCCGCCGTGAATGACTGCGGCGCGGGTGCTTTCCAGGTTAGACTGAGAAGGGTAATGAAGTTGCCAAAGATAAGGAAAATTTTTCTGAAGCCGCAGCATTGCGCAAGGAAAAAAAAAAAAAGACTGGGGACAGATGGTGAGAGGTCAGACTGTCTGAGGAGGAAAAAAAGTTGGAGGTGTTTCCCAGTAGGTAAGAGCAACTGTGTAAGCGAAACCCCGAGCCAACCGCAGCCATGCTCTTACATAATAAAGCCAACCTATTGTGCTAGGCTTCACGGGAAGAGAAAAATTGCTGCAAATGGGGCACTGGGGAGGCCCTAGTAATCTCCTTCCAGGTCGTGGTCGTTCTCTTTCTACTGTGTAAGATTCTCCTCAGGTCCACAACGGGTACATCTGCGCTTTCCAAGTTTCTTTCCCGCTCATGAGACATGGACACAAAGACTTGCCCTGAGAGTTGAGACGGAATGGACTGAGGGCCTGCCCGCCGTAGTCCCGTTCCAAGACCCGTCGAGAGCGGCCCCTCTTTTGGAGAATGGCTCCAATACGGCTCCAGAAGTCCCCGTCTCGTTGATGCATCGCCCGATTCAGTGACCAAGTCATCGATCCCGGCCTGCTACTGGTTGCGCTGTACCAGACGTGGTTCCGGTACACCCTGGAAAGTAATAGACGTAGACGTACATTACATACAGACAACGGCGTAGCTTCTGGAAGTCGTTTGGTGAGGTGAGGTGAGGGACTGAGGGTCGGCTAGCAAGAAAGAAGAGACATGAGTTTTGGTTGGTGGTGCTACCTAGGTGGAATGGGAAGGTAATGCGGTACACGTGCTCCCGCCTCGACACCGTACCGGCTGAGGTAGCCGCGTATCTTTTCCCATGTATCCATACACCCATACTAAGGTAGTTAGGCAAGGCAGGTACGGAGTACGAAGGTGTGTTTTCCATCCCACTTAACTTCCCACCTCGCATCTTCCGCTTTACACTTACCCTCTCATTACTCGATGGCCGTGGTAATGCTTTCCCGGCTCTTCATCATCAGTGGTGCAGAGCAGAGTTGTCTCATTACTTACATAGTATACGTAGTACTTACTCGAACCACAACCCCGTCGCGCTCCCAGTGTTTCCATCTCATCTCATCCCATCTTGTTCTTGCGTTCTCGCAGTTCCGCGAGTGCCCCCCCCCCCCTCTTCTCAGGCACGTCTGGGATCCGGGCGTGCTTCCGGCCCCATGGATGATGGCTTGATGGCTGGGTGTGGTGTTTCCGCTCGATGGGGCCCCGTTGTTTGTGCTTGCATCAAGGTTCGAATGAGAAAACGCAACGTGCTCAACCTCGTGGCCGCCGGCGAAGATTCAATTATTAACAGAAAAGGGCCAACCGCAAGGTCCTGCCGCACCTGGCCCTGGCCACCGAAATCACTCCAGTAAAAATACAAATTCTTTATCCGTGTTGCATTTTACTTTTGACTCTGACCGTCCCGTTTTGTGTTTGTTTGTTCTGCTGCTGCATTTGCCGACTAACTCTCTACACTGAGAAACTTGTGGTTGCTGTACTTTGTTTGTCTGGCTCTTTCCATCACATCACCTAAGAAGATTGGATATCACACACTCTTCCTTACTTACAGCATTAGGTTGTTCCCGTCACACACCTTCTCTCCAACACCCGCATATCTGCCAGGTATCTATACACACTTACTTACCTTACACTTATTCCCCTCCCCCTCCGCTTCCAGACTTATCAATCTACCGAATCCACGGTTACACCTCTTCTTCACCCTCTTTCCTCGCACATCCTCTCATCCCACTGGCTACACTCCTCTGGTCGGACTGCATGCACTCTGCTTCGGCCTGCCTTCCTGTTCGTCCATCATCATCACCAAGTCAGTCGGCCCAGCACCAGCACCAGCACCAGCACCAGCACCAGCACCACCAGCACGGCCCAGAAACATCGCGGCATACCTTGTCCGTTTCCAGTTGGTCAAATCACCACACGGACTGACTAGGACCGGTATCAAAAGCTTGGAGACTCCTCCATCTGAGGTCATCTGGTCTTTGCCTCCTTCTAACCTTTTATTCTCGAAGCGTTGGATCATTGGCCTGGCTTTCTCTTTCACATTCAAAAACGCCCCGACTTGACCTACCTCTTTCGCATCAGGTACGGATACATACAGCCTGGACTTTCTGCTCCGGTCGTCTCAAGCATCTTAAGGTTCGACTTCACATAAGGCAACCCCATCCTGTTTCTACCCGAACCACTCTACAGAGTCGCCCTAGTCGTTCTGTAGGCAAAAGAGCCGCCCAACGACACAAGTAGAAGGCCATCGCGATAAAAAAAAAAACGGCACCATCCAAGACCCCAAGGAACATCATCTGATCCAGCCGTTATCCACTGGACCACTGCACCGTGGACCTCTTTATTTTCTCCTTTCCTGGCTGCCACCCAACCCCCAGGCTCAACCCATTCACCGCTGGTGAGGCACACCCCGAAATCAGCCAGCTTCGCATCGGATCTCCACGCCGAACTCCCTCCCCAACCTGCCCACCTAGCCCGGCCTCTTTACAGACGACCAGCCCAGCGCCCACGAGGCAATCTAACCGGTGACGCTCCAACGCGCATACTGGGGCACGGTCAGCCAGTATATACCCCGATTGGACGGGCCTCCTTGCACCGTGAGTATTCGGTTGCAGATTATCGGTGGATAGCCCGACGACAACGACAACAAGTACAGCAAGCAAGCACGCACACCTGCCGCCATCCCGGAGCTTTCCTGAGTGGGCAAGTCGACTTAGAACAGTTGCTCACTTGACTGAGACCGGCAGGGGACGCTCGCACGCACACACCACATTCTCACTCACTCACTCTCGCACGCTTTATCTCTTGTCTCTCGCACACGCATCCTCATCATCCACGCCTGCTGCAATCTTCGCGGGACATATCTATCCGCACACCATTGAGAACTGCCTCGTCCCATCTAGACACCCCTCCGTCATTTTGCAGCTTCTGCAGCTGCCAACGTCCTAATCCTCGAGCCACTTATCTCAGGAACACCCGGGGTAAATACGAGAGAGCGTACGACAATCCTAGAGATATCCTCCTCGCCTACAGTCCTTGCCTCGCCTCGCCAAATTTCCCTTATCAGCAGCATCGACAAAAAGTCTAGCACTTTACCACACCCCTCCCCCCCCTTGTTGACGGGATACCTTACCTCCCCTCGCCGCCTCCGCCGACGGACGCAGCCTAGTTTGCTATCCGTCCATTCCCCCAGATCTTTTGATCGACCTTTGGCCTGAACAGGCGTGTTTCCATCTCTTGGATCTTGGCTTTTTTGGGCTGTTTGCTGGGGTTAACCCCGCCATCGACTCAAATAAGGAGCTCGCTGTTTTGATAGCGGGTTTGATTGCTATCTAAGGTATCTCGCCATTCTCCTCAACCGACCCCTCAGGGTTCTTGAATCATTCCGGTCCACGGCTTCAGGAACCGACCGCATTTTGATTCTTGTTCCTTTTTTCGAGATCGCACCCCGTCACGTCACCCGTCACCCGTCCACACCTTTGCCAATACTCCCTACTCCGGACGCCTGCCTCTCTCTCTCCGCGTTCTCTCGACGTCGCGTGCGCAGAGACCTGCACTTGGCCCGTTCAGTCCTCCCCTATTCCGCGATAAGGCCTCTGGCTTGCTATAGGTTCGAGGCGGGATTTTACGTATCGGTTTGTCATGGTTGATACTCCTCTTTAAGAAAAACAAATCCCATCCATCCATCGAATCCGACTCAACGATCGACGAAGCCGTTTTCGGGACAACCAGCCCAACACTACATCGCCCTCTCTCTTTTTTTCCACCCTTCTCCACAAACCGAGGCCGCACTTACACCCTCTCTACAGCGCATTCTCTGGGGGAAATAGCGGGGTTGACGACAAGCCCTTGCAGCAACCCTTTCCCTCGACTCAAAAAAAATTCCTTTACTCTGTGCCGGCCGCACAGCCAAAGCCTCTGCTCTTCCCCGCAAGAGCAGTTTATGTCCGAGACTTCTCAGATGGTGACTCTGATGCCTTCCCAACTCAACGGGATTGGGATCCCTATCCGACCCGCCAAGCAACAACAGCAACACCAACAGCAGGATCACTCAAATCACCACTACCACGGCGACTCAGCTGTCTACAGCGCCGTCAGGACACACAAGCACTCGCGTTCATCATACTCTGACGCATCGCCGTTGTCTTCTTCAAGAAACAACTCCCTCACCTTCCGCCCTTTTAAGCGTCCGATGCCCACCCCGAACAAGACGATTGCTGTCATCAATGCCAGCGGTCGTCAGGCTGCATCATTCATCAGAGTTGCCACGGCTGTGGGTTACCACGTCCGCGCTCAGCTGCGGAATCTCGAAGGCGTCGTAGCCACCGAGGTCAACTCAAATCCTAATGTCACTGTCCTCGTCGGCGAGTTGTACACTAGACATAAGCCCACTCCGGACAACAGAGACGTGACAACCAACGGCCCTATCTCCGGTGTTGGTGTAAACCACGACCTGATTAATGACCTCTTCCGCGGTACTCAACTGGCTTTCATCAACACCACCTTTTACGGAGATGAGTTTCAAATCGGAAAGGCACTTGCCGACGCCGCTAAGAAGGCTGGGGTACAACACTATGTCTACTCCACGATGCCCGATCATGCCGCATACAATTCGGATTGGCCATCACTTCCTCTCTGGGCTGCCAAGCACCAGGTCGAAGAGTATGTCCGCTCCATTGGCATGCCTGCCACCTTTGTGTACACTGGTATTTACAATAACAACTTCACTTCGCTGCCCTACCCGCTCTTCTGCATGGAACTCCAACAGGATGGTTCCTTCACTTGGCAAGCACCATTCCACGAAGATGTGAAGCTGCCTTGGCTGGACGCTGAGCACGACGTCGGTCCCTCCATCCTGCAAATATTCAAAGATGGTGTGGCCAAGTGGCGCACAAAGCGTGTCGCCTTGGCTTGGGAGATGTTGACTCCACGCGAGGCCTGTGAGGCTTTCGCGAGAGGCGTTGGACGGCCAGTCAAGTACATCCGGGGTCCGATCGAGCTCAAGGTCAAGATTCCCAATGGCTACCGCCAACAACTTGAGGCGCTGGAGAAGCTCTTCTCTCTCGGCCACGAAGATCCCAAGAAGCAACCTCCTTACTTTGGAGATGTAGAGCTGGAAGAGAACTGCCTTACTCAGTCCATGGCACTCTGGGAGGGCCCGAGAGGTCTGGAAGAATACGCACAGGAAGCTTTCCCGCTGGAGGAACAAGCCAATGGCTTGACGTGGATGTTGGAGGAAGAGGAGGAGGCACCCGAGGAGGAAGTGGCGTCAGCAGTCCACCAGCGGGATCATGAAGTGCAACAACAAGAGGAGGAGGAAGAGGAGGAGTACTCAGATGAGGAAGACGAAGGCTTGACGATGAGAGGCTTGAAGAGAGACGAGGAGGAATGGCTCGCATGAGCTCGAGGCCCGTTGAAGCTTGGGACGCGGCACCACTCGGTTTCGACGGCCTTGGGCTCGAACGACTTTACACGTGTCATCGACACACACACATTCAACTTATACATTGCATGCGGCGGCGTCCAGGTGCCGAGGATTGTTGAATGACGAAGAAAAAAAAACCGGTTCGGAAAAAAAACGTGCGTTTCGGGAGTCGATTTTCTTTGCTGCCCGGCGGTGGCGTACCTCCCCCCAAGTCGGGGTTGAGTTGAGACCTTGTCTGAGCGGAGCCAGTTCGTGTAATGGCGATGACGGCTCTTTTTCTCGATATCATTCATATGGGCTGGCATGGCGTTGCGTGGTCGACAAAAACAAAAGAAAAAGGGCAGCTAGTTGTGCATAAGGTAGCTCCCGGGCGATTCTCCTCTGGTTATTGAGCTTTTTGTTTTACTTCATGACGAAGCGATGGGCAGGAATTCGAGGAGAGAAGAGGGAGGGGCAATAGGCCTCAGACGGTACCTATTCATCACAAAATATATAAAGACAATGTTCAACTTCAAACCAGAATGCAGCCTACGGAGACGAGATGGAAGGAAACTTGTGAGTGAAGTAAGAGGGTGTCGCAACCAGTTTTTAAAGGCAGAATTTCCTCATTTATGACGGCGCTTGTCGTCGGTTGAACGATCCAGGTTATCTAAAAGGTACAGATATCGGTTCCTCGCTCCATGCTTTTTCCCATCCCCCTGATCATAACATTACCACCCCTTGCTCTACGGCGTGGGGGTTTTTCCCTTCTTTCTCGCGCACGCTCTTACAAAAAGAGTCAAAGTCGACAACGCGCGACCCCCGTGGAGCCCACACTTTTTTATTCGGTGAGTACTGCTGCACCGCGCGGGATGATGGATCATGGGGGGTGGGAGGCGGGCGACACCGACGGGCGGGCGGTACCTTGACGCGGGGGGTGATTGGCGTTGCCGCCCGCTGCCGCCGCCGCCGCCCACCGAGGATTTGCACAAGGGCCCCGGGAGATGCATGGGATGACTTCATATGGTTTCTGGATTTAGGTTTTCACACGGATACGGGGGGGGGGGGGGGGGGGCGCGCGCTGCGGGTTCGGTGTATGTGGTCTTGACCGAGGGGAACATCGGTCGGTGTATATCTCAAGTAGTTGTTTCCGTCTATCCGCAACAATATAGCATTCAATGGTTTCTTCGCGGCTCGTTCTGTGCTTGGCACTTTTGACAGCTTGATGTTTGACCAACGGTCTGGATCATGAGAGATAAGATGGATAGAATGTTGAAGGGTGCCCCCTACTTTGAAGGGCTTTCTAGCTTCTAGAGTCCTTGATGTAGAGTCTTGATGAAATATCCTTGGACAAAGAAATACAATCTCTTTAGATATCGTAGCACGATATTTCCTAGAGACGCGGCTTTGGGTGTCTTTCCCTGTGATGTAAGTGATGGCATAGAAGCGACGGAGCCTCCCCGCGGAGATTCCGGTTCATGGATGTTCATGTTAATGTGCAGGGGGGGGGGGGCGGGCTCGTTCTTCTAGAAGCCTTCTTCCCGAGTCAGTCTTTTCCCAATTTGGGCCTCGGTCGATGTAGTGTGAGATTGGCCCCGGCTTTGATATACAGACAGAGAGATACGACGGGATTGATAGGAGAGGGTCCGGACTGTTTCTCATTCTAGTGTCCGTACTCCATATCCGATAAGGAGAGCCAAGTTTTTTTTTTTCCTTCCCCCCATCTATTCACTTCCAAGGAGGGTTACAGGAACAGGATGGATATGGGGCTACGCTGGAGAGCCAGGGAAGGTTCTAATGGCGTCTTGGATAGGTAGATGAGGTGCTTGTTTTCTGACGAAGGTGATGCGTGATGTACGTCACCTGTACACACCGATCTTGCCCAAAAATAATCCCACGTCCATTGGATTTGTGATGGCGTTGACCACATTGTTGTTCTCGGTGGATGAAACGGATGTTCACCTAGATGTTATTCGGTCCCCGTATCATTCAATGTACTGGAACCTAGAGGCCAGCGACCACTCCCACAACACCTCACTTATGAACACACAGCTGTCGAAATCCACAACCATAATTGATCACGCTCTCACAAGTTACTCGTTGAATTCTTCTTCACAAGCCGGAACATGAACAAGGGTCAGGTCAACCGTCAGCGCTTGATCCTTCCCTTATCGGCCAGCGACGCGCTTCCTCTGTCTTGACCCCCCCCTGACCAAGCCCACACCACCCGTCCGAGATCCGATAAACGGCCCATAGTTGGGAGTCCTTCCCTTCCTTCGCCTACAGGGCTACTACTGCAGGTCTCTTAAGCTAAAGCAGAGATCCTCGACATGCATTCGAAAAGAACTAATGTCTTCTAGAAAGGCACACCACACGCTTCGCTCTCCGAGATGCCGCCGGTAACCGTTCATCACCCCACGTGGGAGAGCACAGGGTTATTACGTTGACATTGCCTAAGGGGTCTTTCCCCGTAGTACTTGTATCCAGCGACTCGAGCATGTCCGTGGAAGAGGGTTCTCGGAGAGCTTCTCTCGATTTATCATAGGGTCCGGGAACGGAATTTTGAAAGCCATCAGCACGGGCACCCGGGGGCTTTAGATGGTATAGTTAAGAGATTCGGAAGGACGGAAATCTCTTTCCTTCCAAGATAGATTCCATTCATTATCCGTAGGGTATGGACCTTTACCGTCGACTCACTCATTGCCCTCTCACCTTGGAACTGCAGGAACGGAATTCAGCTCTTCACGGGCTGCAGCAACAGAAACCCGCTTTGCTTGTTCGAGCTCTTCCTTGCCCACACACATTGCCCTGCTTGTACTACGGCTCCCGCGTTCCCCTGCTCCTTGTGAACCCCTGAACCAGCAGACAAACTCCGGTAGTGGGAGCCCCCCCCCCCCCCCCACGACCGTCATGCAGCATAAAACTCTTCTCGGCAGGAAGTTCTGGAGAATATGCAACATGATGACGCCCCATTACGTCTTTTCTTCGTGATGGGCTTGGTGGTCCAACGGTTCTCGTTGTATGAGGAGCACATTTCCCTTGTTGGCGCGGCACCTCAAATACAAAACTACTTCCCTGTATACGTCGTAGCTAGAAGCCGTCAAGGGAAGAAAGAACCTATTTGCCGAAATTCTGGACCTTCAGCGCCGCCCCGTATTTCCTGGTGTACTGTGTCTCTTGTCCCCTTGAGTCCAAAATTAACAGCACGAAATATAGACAATGGTCATGTCTGGGAGATGCTGCTACGTATGGGGAGAATCATACAGTCTTCGGTGAGGTATCGGTCGCTACCTTCAAGCCATATTGCCTCTACAAGCAATGCCTTAAGCTGAAATCGACATCTCATCTTGCTTTACCAAATGGATGCGCCATTATCCTACATACTGTATCGATTGGTCATATATGATCGTAAGATATAATGAGAAATTAGCTTGGCCCAAGTCAGAAAGTGAATTAAAGCTACTGACCCTTATTGACCGCGGGGCTCACAGGCTCCATGGCGCCCCCTGGAGACACTTCAAGATACATCAGAACCGCCTGAAGATTGCTTCCATCTCGGCGGTCCTCTCTCATCAGCGACCATCTCATCGACATGGACTATTCCACAGGTTCGTCCCTAGCTCCCGATCACTCAACAGCACATAAGGTAGTGACGCTCATCGTCGTGCTGCGTCTCCCGATAACCCCTTATCCGGGGGATCTGATCGCAACTCCTTATCATTGCCCAGTAAGGACCCGTACTATTTCCTGCTATCATGAAGATACATAATGGGAACTGCAGGGTGGGATCTCCGTGGATTCGCTGCAAAACAGATCATTCAGTCAATGTGTTCTTCGCTGTCACCCATCGGCAGCTAAGCTTGCACCTATTTCAGAATTCCCAACCGGGAATCACTGTGTTTCAATGATTATTAAAAGGCTTTCCTACTCCCTTCCAATATTTGGCACTTGAGGGTTTTGTTTTCCCTGTGAAATAACCTGGGACGACCAAGAAGTGCCTGACCACGTAGCCACTCGACCACTGTTCCGTACACTGGACTCCGTTCAGGCTTTCAATACGAACCACCAAAAGATACCAATCAAGATCGTACACTTCCAGCTGCGAACGACACGGCGGCCATATTTCAACCCATGGTCAACTGTGACTTGGCGTGCGATTGCCGCCAAAGTACGTGGATGCAAGTAGTGCGTGGCCGGCTTGACGAACGAGCTCTTGCTTCCCGACGTATCCGCAACGTGGTACAAGGCTTTCCAAAGTGCAACTTGATGATGGTATTTCCATATGAAGGGGAGCCAACTGGTGTATGCACTCTTCTCGAATTCCCGCCACAGATCAACTCGAGGCGCCTACGAGAAGGCTGATACAAAGCAAGTTCGAAAACACACACAAGTCCCTTCACTCCCCCCCCGGGACTCTTCAGAAAAGTCCTCTGTGGGCTCTCCATTCCTAGTAGCTCTAAATCCATGGTTGATGGGAGAGGAATGCCGGCCACGGCGGCTGTTGTATGCCTCCACGCTCACACATCGCGCGGTAGTACGTCCTAGCGCTCATTTCAATCTGGGACAGTGTTGAATCCTGCCATTTCTAGCCTGAGGGGCCGTAGAAGCTGTGATTCAAAACGTTGAGGGCGAGGAATCGATTGCAGGCCTTTGTGCGAGGCTTGTAGGGTGTCGACACCCAGCAGAGCGTGGGCTACTCGCACCCTCTGATTCGCATTAGCCACCAAAGTCACTCGCAGGGTCTTACCACAAGACTCAGTAGATAACCTTTTCGGTGTTGAGAAGCCAGAAGCGCGTTTTTAAGGCGTGCATAGGAGCAGACGGTGAACAGGGCTGGGCCTGGATAGAGATTTCACTTCCTTATCAGCTTGCTCGACTCAAGCTTTAGATTACCCCTGATAAGCCGATTCCCTCCGGTGGCTCGCTCGCATTACCTTGGTAAGTGGCAGAGGTAGTCGCTTGCAACGGATACGCAGCTTATGTTATCTTGAATTGAACCAAGTACCTACAAGATGTCTGTCATCATGGGTATTTATATTACAACCGTGGCCGTCCCGCCAGGTTTAGCAGCAGCGAAGTGTTGTGGAGGTTGGATACAGGGCTCTTCGCACTTGATTGCATTCTAATTAGCTGCAGTCTATGAATAGTCTAAGTGAATCTATCCCAGTGCTTTTCCAAGTAATAATATCTTTATCTTTCGCACTGCGTACTTTGTCTACTCAGATCTTCAAGGATATTCGTTCACGAACGTACCCAAAGAAGTACGGTGAGATAGGCAGTAATAAAGACAGTGACGATAAGAGGTGACCGGCAGTTTATCTTGTCACCTGATCGATGGTTACAGGAGACGTAAGGGATCCTCATCGCCAGTCCACAATCGTTCTGACCTTGTCGCCCAAATGTTATAAAGCAAAGCCGGATATTTCACACATAAATGCAAGATTCATTTACAAACTTATGTTCGCTAAAATCTAGTATCGGAAAGAACACAACAAGACAAAGTCATCAATTCTGAATGCAGTTCTGGCGGTCATAGTCGAACACGCCAAGTCTCAGTCCCTCTTCCCACTGTTGTCCATCCGTGACATCTCAGTAGCAGCAGCGGCACCCTGCCCAACACGACCCTCGGGCAACTCGTTCATCGCATCTTCCTCCTTATCCAAATCCCTGAACTGGAACCAGAAGATAACACCCGCCACACCAGCCAGCACGGCCACGATGCCGTAGTTCCACACCAGGTACGGGTCGGTGCTCAAAGGCGTGAAAGCCTGCCCCAGCGCCGCCGAGATGGCCGACATGAAGAGCGCCACGGCCTGGACCATGGACCGCATGTTTTTGGGCGCCTTGCTGAAGGCGTACTCGAGGCTTGTGATGCTGGCAAAGATCTCGGACAGGGCGATGAGCACGTAGGCACCCGTCTGGGCCCAGACGAGGATATCGACGGGAGGGCAGGGGTCGCCGTTGGGTAAAGTACCCGAGGCGAACTGGCCGCAAGCGGAGCGTTTATAGATGTAGTACTGCAGCACGCAAGCCCAAACCATGGCCATGGCGCCGGTAAAGAAGCCGAAAGCGATCTTCTTGATGGGCGTGAAGGGGATCCTGAGCTTGCGGAGGGTCGGGTAGAGGACCAGGTCGCAGAGCGGGATGAAGAGGATGAGGGCTATGGGGTCGAGGTTGGAGAGGATGTCGTTGGGGAGGCCGTTGAGCTGCATCGTGGCGGCTTGCGAGACTAGGTTGTTGTTCACTTTTGAAGGGTTAGATGAGGGTGACAACCTTCGAATGGAGGGAGGGGCAAGATTGGAGGCTTACATTGATTGTACGAGAGCCAGTAGATGGGATACCATGAAAAGACGGCACAAGCTGCGAAGCCACGACGCCTGCAGAGGTCAGTAAGTAGTCAACCCATGTGCGCCGAAGCAATCCTTACAGCTCTTCTACCCAGGCATCGTCAAAGGTCATCCACTTCGGCCGCGTCGCATCAGAGAAGTTCGAAGGCTTGACCCGCTCCCAGAAGGTCCCGTCGTGCATGTTCCTCCATGTCGTAACAGGGTTAATCGACCATCTACCCTTTTGAGCAAAGAGAAACGTCCGCAGAGCCGGTCCCAAAACCGAGCCCGTCGGGGGCTGATCGCGATATCTACCCTTTCCCCACCACATGACCAGGGGGCACAGCGCCAGCATGCAGGTCGGCAGCGTGAAGCTCAGCCAGAAACCGACATACTTCTCGGCGTAGACCATGGAGATCTGGCCGACCAGAGCGCCAATGTTGATGAACATGTAGAACCAGTTGTAAACCCTGTTGATGGTGATGGCAGGATCGACAATGACCTTCTCCCCCGTCGGGAGCGTCCGTACGGTCAAGTGGTCGATCTCGAGCTGCTCCGCGATTAAGGGACTGACGTTGGGTTTGAAACCTCCCGTGGCAAATCCAATCGTTCTAGCTAGAGTTAGCTTGAAGGGTGCTCCGGGCCGGCAGCTAGAGTACCACTTACATCATGCCGACAAGCAGTGCCGATAGCGAGTTTCCGGCTGGCTTGGTGATGACAGGTGGGATGGCGGCAGATATGAGAATCAAGTGACCTACGAGATCAATGGCGATGGAGATGCAGATGGTCTTGTACCGTCCCCAGTACTTGTCGGCGACCCAGGCGCCGAATAAGGGCATGAAGTACTGCCAGAACTGGTTGAAGGTCGTTATACCCGTTGATGCCTGCTGGCCCATTCCAAGCGCACCAGGTTGGCCGTTGGGCGCGGCGCCGGTCGTGGAACCAGCTGGGAGAGGTTGTTGGATGAAGTTGGTAACTTGGCTTGGTTAGTATTCCTCGAGCCTGTACGATCTTCACTCATTGGCAAAACATACACTTTCAATGTTAGTTTCTTCTATAAAGTGGAGGACTCGAGTCTACTCACGACAATAACGGAGCCGTAGTACGAGAAGCGCTCGCACAGCTCGACAAAGGCGATAGTGAAGAGCTTAAAGGGAATATGGTCTGAAACTCTCCTCAGAGTCTGCAACTCTTCGTCGGTCGGCGCATCTGGCCGCGGCTGGATACCCCTCTTCTCGTCTAGCGATACATCTTCGTAGTACTTCATATCGTATGAGCCCTCTCTACGTTGAGACTCAGAGAGGGACTGTTCAATAGTATCCCCAGCTGGCATCGTATCTTTGGTTTCCCAACTCTGATGTCGAATCAAAGAATGAGGCCGTATTCTTCACAAGACAATTGTACGAAGAGATAAGAAGATGTTGGGTGGCCTTCCGCATTTATGGTCTTGGCTCTTCCGGTCCGATATGTGAAACACGATTAAAGAAGCCGTGAAGGACACAGGGATGAAGACGGGAAGGGACACTCGCTATCTTGGGGAAAGAAAGGTAAGGATTGGCTCATGATAAGGCAGAAGGCGAACAAGCAGGGATATTCAGGCCAAGATAAAACCGAGAAAGAACGGACGGGCTCGTAGCAGATCGTGGGGGAGGGGGGAAGGAAACACTACACGGAGCGGCAGCGGACTTGGGGCGAGCAGGCCTGAGCTCAGGGGGGCAAGTGTAAGAGAAGTACAGACGAGATGGAAACCAGATTGGCGGATGTTGAACCTTCGCGTGCGTCTGCTCCTTTGCCAACCTACTGTATGAAAGGTCTTAAAGCAGAAAGGTATTATAGTTGGCCTAGAAATCGAGCCGATTGAGCGGAAGATTTGTACGTAATTATTGTTGACTTCGTCGCAACTGCCGGGCTGCAAGGCGTTTAGCAAGCCACTCTTCGAGACTTACTTGGACTACGCGGCCGAGTAGACTTGAATGTTACGGGTACCCGTGAAGCTTTGAGAAATTAGAGTCACCGCCGAGCCGGCAATCGATCAATTGGGTGCGTCAATCGCCCGAATGGTCGGGTCTGGCCAAACCGGGCCATTCCAAGTGCCGATGCCTCGTCAACTACAACTACGCGATGGCTGTTCTGTGCCGGCCTGCTACAATGCATGCTCTTCATTTGATATGACTTGCACGCGTATTCGTCGACTCGTAGCATGTGAGGCGTTGTGAGGTGTTGTGAGGTAACGACTATACGAACACTCATCGGGCGGGATGGGTTATAGTCTGATTCACCCCACTCACCAGCAGTGAAGGGAAAGTTGCCCAGAAGCTTAGATTGTGAGTTGGAATCCCACAAGGGACGTACTATTTCTTCTAACCCTTTTTTTTGCCTTCCTCCATTTCTTTCTTTCTCCCCCGAAGTGCGCGTTGACAAAAAGCGACATATCCAGGAGACTGATAACTTACGCGAAATGTTAGACCCGGCGTGTCCTGTCTGTATCGCGTTTCGGATAACGCCGGCGGCAAAACCTTGAACCCCATGGCCCGAAATCTAGTCACAGTAAGAGTGAAAGAGCTAGAGATTGCGTAGCGCTCCGAGTGACTACCAGCCCATCAGCGGGAAATGTGGCCGTCGGACGTCCAGGGAAAGTGACGACACGGAGCGCATGTCTTTCCGAGTCAGGGAAACGATGCAGTATGCGAGGATGACAGCGATTGAAAGCCTGTCGACGATCGATAAGCTCACGCGCTCCGTTCTACAATCGCTGTTCAAAGGAAGAGGAGGTCATTCATTGACGTGTCCCGGGCGGCTCCACTATACGCCGGCGCCGGCGCCGAACTCCGGCTCGGCAGGAACTGGGGCCGTATATGTGGAGTCGCGTTACATTGGGGATTGGCGCTTCTCTGGTGCGGATGGCTCAGGGGCAGATATCGGAATGCCCGGGTGAATGAGAAAAGCCCGGAGACGTTGCTCGGAAAATTCTTGGCCTCACGCTCAGTCTGTTTGGTTAGCAAGACAAGGATGTCTCACGCGCAGATCCATCCTCAGAACAGTCTTCATTGGTTCGCGCATTCGATGCATGTCTCTCACTTGCAAACAAAAGCATCTCAACCTACGGCACACATCGATGCACGTTGGCGGCAATCCTCTTTTTACTTTATTTAAAAAAGAAAAAGAAAGAAAAAAAGGCAATGGAGTTTGTCTTGATGGAAGAAGCGGCCTTGCTGCTCGGTATTATTAAATGTCTATATGAACGATCTGAACGGCCGAATGGGATATGCAAGAAGAGAGCAGCGAAAAAAACCACTCTATACGCGCTTCATCACCAGGCTCAAAGTTTTCCATTTCTTGAACCATCCTACTTCATGCCCATGACTGAGACCTTCCAAGAAGCCCTCCCCATACCTAGACGTTGTCTCCTTCTAGAACTTGCCCTTGAGCAGATTGGAAATCATCTCGCGACCGGTGATACGGGTCGTCGTCCACAGGGTGGGGAAGTCGAGGGTGCTGGACAGACCGTCGGCGAAGCCAAAGAAGAGCATGGGCGGGATCCAGCCGCGGGCGTACTCGAGCGCAAAGCAGCCCTCGTCCATCTTGTACTGCTTGACGTCGCCGCGGTGCAGGTGGTGGACGGTGCCCTGGGGGTAGACCTCGGGCTCGTACTTGCCGGGGACGTAGGCGAGCTGGGTGCCGTAGAGGATGTTGAAGTAGTCGTCGGCGGTGTGGCGGCCCGAGTGGCCCTCGGTTCCGATGGCGGTGCCGAAGACGATGAGGTACTCGGTGATGCCTGATGGGATTTTGTTAGTGAACTGCCGACAATCATATTTGAAAGATTGAGAGATTGAAAAAGAGAAAACTCACTGGCGTGGATGATGTACATGGCGCCCATGGCACCACCAGCGTTGTTAAAGACCCATTCCTCGTCGAGGTTGACGTTGGTGGGATGCAGGCCGTTGAGCTCGGTCACGATGTAGTTGACGACGGAGCGCGTGTCGTTTCCATGGGTGGCGATGGCGCGCTTGGAGAGGTCGTGCAGGTGCTCGTGGTCAAAGATGTAGAACTTTTCCAAGTTCTTCTCGAGGAACATGTAGATGGGGGTCAGGAGACCGATCCACAGCGCCAGTGTAAACAGGCGCCCGAGAGACGGCATTGTGATTTGCGTGAAAGTCCTAGAGTAAGACTTGAGATACCAAAGTGCAAAGAAAGGGGAAGGAATGTGGTGGTCCAATTGGCGGACTTGTGTACGGTGAGGGAGAACGAAGAGGGCGCACACGGAAAAGTGTTTTGCGACGGGAGCACCGGCGAGATGGGTTTAAGAAGGCTTCGTTGAGCTGTATTGCCCGTTGTCGCATCGCTTATTGTTTTTGGTTGAGAGATTGGCAGGACCCTGCATTTTGCCCTTTCTGCCATGCGCTACCGCCCCGGAAGCTCAAGTTGCCAGTGGTCTGACGGAGCTCTGATGGTGGGGCTGGCCATGGGTTTTGCTGTTTAGCTGCAGCTATCCGGGATGGCGGGGCCGTCGACTGGGCAATTCAGAAAAAAATCGGACTTTCGGGTTTCTGACAAGTGCAATCTCAACCACCGAGCAAACGGAACGGATTTTGATACTCCAGCCTCACATACGGAGCCGAAAGGAAAAATTCGTGACTGGGGTCAGCTCATACCAGGCATCTCACTTCTCAGCAGACACATAAACACATACTCAAGTGTGAAAACGGGAACGAACAAGAGCGCCAACCACAGCTAGCTCTCACACGTCATACATCCACCCCGAGCTCTCATCATCATGGCCACGGTTGAGACTCCCCAGACCGCTGTGCCGGGCAAGGTCCTCGGCCCTACTACGCGGTTTGCCGCCGGCCCAGGAACACACGTCTACGACGGAAATGTCGTCGCCTCCCTGCTCGGCGACGTGACCGTCACAGCATCGGCCAAGGCCCAGGCCGGCCTCACGAAGCGCCTCAACCGCATCACGCCGCTGTCGCCCGAGGAGCTGGCGACCATCTCCGTGGCGCGCAAGGGCGCTAGCAAGAAGCGCGAGGTGCTTCCCGACGTGAGCAACATGGTGCTCTGCCGCGTCGTGCGGTTGATGCCGAAACAGGCCATTGTCACGATCCAGCAGGTTGGCGACACGGTGCTGCAGACGGAGTGGCAGGGTGTCATTCGCTCTCAAGACGTGAGGGCGACGGAGAAGGATAAGGTCAAAATTTATGAGAGCTTCAAGCCCGGTGACGTGGTGCGGGCGCAGGTGGTGAGTGGCTTTTGCAAGACATTGAAATGTGACTTGTGATGAGTAGCTGACTTGATGTATCAGATTTCTCTGGGAGACCAGGCAAACTACTACCTCTCCACCGCTGCCAATGAGCTGGGTGTTATCATGGCCACCAGCGAGGCTGGCAACGACATGGTGCCGGTCAGCTGGAAGGAGTACAAGGACCCGGAGACTGGCATTGGAGAGCCACGCAAGGTGGCCAAGCCAAACTGATTGGCGCGTTTTATCATCTACTTGCCTGTCTTTTCACGATGTGCAGGTCAAGCTGTGGAGAGCTCTGCAGCTGGATACGCTCAGACGCTTGAGGTTGCAGAATATTCTGCACCGCCTCGCCGACGAGGCTGAGGGCTGATGGCCGCTCTTACCGCCTCCTCACTCGGCAGGGAAGTGCTCTCATGGCGTTTCGAAACGAGAGGGCCGGCATGACGACATGACAGCGAGCTTTTTGGGCAGTTTCAGACTTCTGGACCGAACCCGAGGGCCGACTTGGCTGGTGCACCAGCACAGCAAACCAAGAACTACGGCCTTTTACTATCCTTCCTGGTAGCGTCAGCATCAGCAACAGCTGCCGTCAGCATTGCATGAATTTTTGACGAGAAGACGAAAGCATGAGCTCCACTGCCAACCAACGATGCAGTGGCAGTTTGGAGGGGTTGCATGGCCGGCAGGGTGCCCTTTGTGTGCGGATACACTGCAACGACTCAGCACGGGACATGGCAAGGTCAAAGGACTGCTTGATGGGCAGTCCGATGTGGGAGCCTTATTCATGCAAGGGGACGATCAAGAGTTGTCAAAAGGGAACGGATACTGGGCGCCAGAGACAAAGGACGAGCGAAGGGGGAGGAATCGCCAGAAGACGGTCGTCTACACTCTATAGTCGTCAATCATGACACCTACATGATTAGGATGTAACCAAATTCCCAAGTGTAACCTTTAGTTCCGTTCCCGTCTGGGCATGGACATGAACGGACATTCCGCAATTGGCATTAATTTAAACAATCAGTCAATTTGGACCAAGAGGAAGAAACATGACTGTGTTTAATCAAAACGGTTGCGGCCCGCAAATAGAAGAGAATTGAAAGAAATGGCAGCAAATTAAGGCTCAAGCAACAGTCGTACACCCGTTCCCGTCTCTCCCTGCCATCTCGGTTGATGAGGCTTTCAACCGCAAGGAGAGTGCTGGAACAGCAAATGGGGTGGAGCAGTGTCGGCCCCCGTAGGTAAAGCCCAAATTGGGTTTCCTCGCCCAATCGCCCGACGCCGTTTTGTTAGGACCCGCCCGTTTGGGACACTGAAGGACCCCGGTCCACCGTTCTTCCCCAATCATCGTTACCACCCCCGAATTCCCACGAAAGCAAGGAGGCGCAGTTACCGTTCGCGTTGTCAATTTATTCGTGGAGGGAAACGGGATCGAAAGAAAAGGGCAGGTGTGTGGTGTCACGTAAGTCTGGTGGCTAAGGTGGCATGTGGGCGGCATTTCAGGCAGATGGGGTTCTCTCTCTGCCATATTTTATTACTTTTGCGAACCCAAACCCTTCAATTGTCTCTTCTTCCCTTCTCTTTGCTTTTTTTCCTTGGTAGACTCATCGATATCCAATATTCCCATTTGACTACGAACGGATCTACTTCACAAAACCTGCGACGAGACAACTGCATCCGTACCTTGACTTTTTCTGCCTCCCCAAAGCGCCGTGCTGCTACGAATAAGAGTTCCAAACCACCCTATGCGAACACTCTATTTTTCCCAGATATAATAGTCCGACATATGATCGTGCGCGGCCACCTACCACTCGCATTTCATCCCCCCTCCTGACGAACCTTTGGCACCTCGACGTCACACCTTTCAAACTCTCTAGCCCCCCCCGCCGCGCTAAAGTAGCTTTTCCCTTCCTCACGCGGGGACTTTGCAACGCCTCGAGCACAACCTAAAAAGAAGCTTGATCTATATCCCCCGCCACCTCTCACGTCTAAGTCGATCGCGCATCTTAGCAACCGATTTTCCCACGGATCCTCACCGAGGAGTGCGAACGAAATACCAGCTTCATCCTCACCACACAACCGAGAAGAGCGCCTGGGACGAACGATACACATACTCCCGTTCACCAAAGCCATGAGCGCGACAATGACAATGACCGCCGCGCACCCGCCGCTAACACCGCCAACCCTCTCCCTCTCAACTGACCGCTCAGAGCAACACTCCTGCCCCTCCTGCGGCGTCGTTCTCGAAGCGCCCCCGGCCCTCCTCGAAGCCCAGTCCCGCATCGCCGACCTTGAAGCCCAGGTCCGCCTCCTCAACCAAAAGGCCGCTGCCGCCGTCGACCGCTGGGCCGACTACGAAGACGAGCTCACACGTCTGCGCATCGCCGCCTCCCACCGAACCTCCACCCCCGCCGCCTCGCCCGGTCTCGCCCCCGCGCTGCCTCTTGCTCCCAGTCCCTCGCCCACCCGCACCAGTTTTCTGAGCGGCGGCGCGAATAGGTTATCGCAACTTCTCAGCCCGCGGGGCATGAAGTCCTCGCCGAACCTGCGCACGCCATCGCCACCGCCCGACGGCCCCGCATCGACAGAGGATTTGCGGGAGGCGCTGGGGAGGGAGCAGAAGATGAGGATGGCTGCGGAGAGCAGGCTGAGCACGACGAGCCAGGAGGTGGAGGAGCTGAGCGTCAGTCTCTTCGAGCAGGCCAACGAAATGGTCGCGACGGAGCGGCGGGCGCGGGCGAAGCTCGAGGAGAGGGTCGAGACGCTGGAGAAGCGGGACAAGGATAAGCTGAGGCGGTTGGATCGGCTCGAGGGGGCCGTGGGTCGGATCGAGAGGGTGAGGTCACTGTTGGGCGAGATGAATGCCAGGGACGAGAGTGTGAGGGAGGCGGCGGAGCAGAAGAGGGCCTCGCAGCCGTGACGGGGGAGGGAGTTCGCGGGAGTTTGGGAATCATGATGGAGTAGGAATGTACGATGCATAGCGGTGCGATATCCGCGGGGCTTTTTAATGACGATACGACACGAACTGCATACTGGGCGGGAAATCTTGGGGGTAAATTTATGAACCATTATGGAAAGGAAGAAGAATTCCAGGAAGAAGAAGAAGAAGCAAAACCGAAGTTCGCCCACAGAAATCAAACCTGTGAGCTACAGTTGTAGGTAGCGCTGCACTTCAGAATTAGGGGTATAACCATCTTAAGCTTTCGGGCAGTAGTCCCATTTTCAACGGATGCCAGGAATGGAAGCAAATCTATACTTGTACCTTTGGAATAGTACATGTCGACGAATATACAATGGGAATACTAGAGAGATTGCACATCGGGTCACACAGTCTCAGGGTCTAGCGTACATAAATCAAATGACACGATTGAGGTGTTTTAACTTATACACTTCGTCACCGTCTTGTATATACGGGCAAATGGGCAATCGCAGTGAAGTGTCCAACTATTGGGTCACCCCTCGATCTGCAATGCTTTTCTGGGTCATGCTAAATGAAGCCTCCGTACGCCGTGCCCTTTTCCCAGGCCGTAGCCTCACAAACTGAAATGTTTTCATAACGAGGCCCTTGTGTGTCTCTGTGTACTTTAACGTTGTCTCGTCTATGCGATGCTCAAGCGCTTAGTCCTGAATGCCTTCCCATACGTCATCAAACTTCTTTTTGTTAGCTGACTTCGCCTTGGGAGAAGTTTTGGGAGAACCTTTAGGTGACACCTTGGGAGACGCCTTGGGAGACGCCTTGGGAGACGTCTTGGGAGACTTCTTGGGCGAAGACTCCTTGACATCGCTAGCCTGCTCCGACTTGACCACCTTGGCGGCGGGCGCCTCGTCTCCCGAGCTGGAGTTTCTCCTCTTCTTGGAGGCGTTGTCGTTCTTCTCGACGCTCTTGTTCTCCCACTTGCGCTTCCTGTCATCCTTGCGGCCGTGGTTCTGCTGCTGCTTCTGCTGGCCTTGGGCATTCTGTCGCTCGCGTTGCGACTGCGGCGCTCCATTGGGGTACTTCTCGGTCCATTCAGACAATGCCTTGGCGACCTTGGGTCCCCAGACCTCCTCTCCCTTGAGAACGTCATCGTACTCCAAGCAGCTATCAGTGCGGACCTCAAAGTCGCCCTGTCGGGATCGCTCGAGCTCAGCCATCATGCCCGCAGAGTCGACCTTGGCACCCAGATCATGGCAGAAGCTGCGAACATAGAATCCAGAGGTGACCTTCATGCGGATCCTGGCAGCGGGCGGCCCCTTGTCGGTCCAAGGGAAGGGCTCATCCGCAGACGGAGGCGGCGGGATGAGGTTGGAGCCCTTGCCGCCGGGGAGCTGGCCCAAGGCGCCAGACATCAGGGCCGGGTTTTTGGGCGGCTTTTGCTTCTTGGCAGGTTTGTCGCGGATAAGACCGTCCTGGCGCTCCTCAAACTTCTTCTTAACAGTCTCGTGCTCGGAGAGGGCTTTCTCTTCTTCCTTCTCCTCCTCAGGAGTGAGCCGGCGGCCGGAACCCTGTTGCTTCTCCACTCGCCAGACCTGCTCAGCGAGGTTCTTCTCGGCCGTCTCCGCCTCTTCGGTAGGCCATCTGTAGTTGTGCGTTCCAGGCTCGTACCACTCAACCAATTCGAGCTCGGATACTTCAACGTCGCGTCCCACAATTTCTCTAGGGATAGCCTTGCCCTCACGAGCGTACTCATACAGCGGCTTGCCCTCCATCTTGAGTGCCGAGTACAGAGGAGGGATCTGCTCGAACTTGCCCCTGAAGCTGTCCATCGCCTTCTCGACCTTTTCTTTTGTAATCTCATCGTACGGCCGTCTGCTCAATATTCTACCCACGCGGTCGTAGGTGTCTGTGCTTGCGCCAAATAGTACCACCGTCTCGTAGGTCTTGGTGCAGTCGAGGAATGAGCCGAGTGATTTGGTACCCGATCCGACTCCCAGGATGAGCACGCCGGTCGCCAATGGATCGAGTGTGCCTCCGTGGCCCATCTTTACGCGGGAGTCTTTCTTAACGGCTCGGCGGCGCTTCCACTCTTGCTTGGACTCCTGCATCTTGGCGGCAAGGTCTCTCTCAATCAACGGCTTGAACATCGCTGAGGGGTTCATCTGCTGCTGGCAATCGCGGATCACCTGCGCAGAGCTCATGCCATACGGCTTGTTGATGGCTGAGTTGGAGATACCACGGTCAGCGTTTGTCGAATCGCATCGCGCGCCTGGGGGCGCCCAAAGAGCAACAATGGGGAGCAAGGAGGCATCGCTTACCGAAGACGCCTTCGTACACGGTGTCTTTCGCCATCTTCCAGAGATTGGGCGTAATTCTCATTCGCCCAATGTTGAAGGATCTTAGGAGGGAAAAAGAGAGAAAGAAACGATGCGGCCGGTGGGGGGGAGGTGCAGCCTTCTCTTTAGCTTTTGCGCTTTCCGTGGATCTTGCGCTTCTCTGCATGCAGTTCTGGGAAATTTTTTAGGAAGGGACGTTCCAGTGATTCTTATCGGCTTATCTATTGGTCCAGGAATGACAGAGCCCCTGTCTGCTGGGCCCGTGGACTAGCAAGTCCCCTGTACCGGCGACGAGTCCCGCTACCTTTCTTCCCAGCTCCAGTGGGGAAGAAAGTAGTGCTCCTCTGCCCCGCATCAGTAACTGTACTTCCTACGGTAGGCAGTCACAACGTTCCGCGCGCTCCAGCTTTCTTTAATGGATTTGAGAACCGCGTTCGCGTGCTTCTTTCCCACCTACCCACCACACATCGTCGTTATAGCCCGTCGCAACGTACACCATCACCCCGCAACATCTTACTCTTTTCCCCCGGGGAAACGCATCCCAAGCCCGATGAACTTGCGCCTAGCACACATTTACGCCTCGTGCACCGAGAAGTCCCGCCCTCACCACCTCGAACGATTGCAAATTTAAATAGTATAATGGCTGGACGGCGGCGACGAACGTCGGATTCGACGACTGGCACCGTCGAACCCGACAGACGGGTCTACGCCAAAGAACTTAGCATTCTCAAGAGGTATGATCCTGTGGAGGGAGACATGCTGCAGACATTTGTTCTTGAGGATGCCATCGTCTGCGACAAGAAGAGCAATCCCGTCGAGCTCTTTACCGTCAATACCCAGGGCCCATTCACTGTTCGAGGTCGCGTCATCGTCGATGGACCGCAGACGGCAAGAGGTCTGGCTCGATCCATGAACACCCATTACCAACAATCGCTTACATTACGCAGCCGTGAAACCTTCTACAAAATCAGCCTTGATCGAAACCCATGAATGCACTCGCTACGCTATCGGCGTCAGCGACAATGGCTATGGCGCATGGGCTGGGGGCGCGGCGGGATGGTACGAAATTCGACCACCATCAGCTGCCTACAAGGCAATATTCGACCACACAATCGAAGGGGTTTCGGTCTACTACACGATTCTGGACATCATCGAGGAGCACGCCGCAGCCAACACGAACAAGAAGGGCCCCAAGAAGAAGAACGGCGCGGCAATGACCATTGAGACGTTGTTGTTCAAGGTGAGCCTGGGGCTGAAAAGAATCTAGCGATCTATGCTGACGCAAGTGACAGTATGCAGTAGCCATGGGCGATGGTGCTACTCTCGAGGAGGTGGAACAGCGCTGCGACGATCATGCATCTTTCCTCATATCCCATTTCTATGAAGAGCCAGAATTTGAATGGACGCTGACGCTATTTTTCAAATGGATGACAGAGCGACACCCAGTATGTAGTAGCTCCACCTCGCTTTGCTGGAGACCCGACTGATCAATTTAGGACATTCATAAGAAAGTCCTTGAGCTCAGGAAGAAGAAATCAGCGGGTGTTAAGCCTGGTCCATCCATACCAGAGGAGACTGAAGCTGTGGTGGCGCCGACTGTTTCGGACGAGCCGCCCGCGCAGAAGGCGCTGTCGAAACGAAAGCAAAGGGGCACACCTGCCGACGATAGCCAGATCGATTCGCACGACTTTGCTCTCTCTGCACGGGATATGAGGTCCAGATCAAGGGGCAAGACAAAGACGCAGTCGCCCCCCGCCTTTGAACCTTTGGAGGAAGCCATGGCAGTGGACGAGACCCCAGAGGTTCCAACCCAAACGGAACTTGTCAGAACTGTCCATGACCGATCCAACGTGGACGCCCTCCTAGAAGCCATCGACGACATCAAACCCGAAGCTGAGCCGTTGAGTAAAGCCGCGTTCTCCAAAGTGTCATCAAAGTTGTACTACAAGTACAAGGTCAAAGCCTACCTGGGAGCAGCAGACATTCTCAAGTACTATGCAAAAGAGTTGGTTGAACGCCTGGATCAGGATGAGTGGAGAGGGTCTGGTTTCTGGAAAACGCTCGAAGAATCTGCCCAAGGTCCTCGCTTCTCTCTTGAGCACATCCAGCTTGACCAAATTCCTGAAGCCCTAACGCGACGGAAGGCGAAGGAAGTATCAAACCCACGGAATCGTTGGCCATCACTTCCTGAAGACGCCCAGAGGAGCACGGATGTTGCAACTCCTCCTCCAAGACGTGTCGGCAGGCCAGCTGGAAAGATGTCAGGCCTTCGGCTTGCGGGCACCGGTGGGAAGCGGCGCTTTGACCCCGGGGACGAGACCCCAGAAAGTATCTCCCGACAGGTCGCAAAGAGGTTCCATGCCGGCGACGCTTCTGACGAGGATGAAGTCATGAATGATGGCAGCAGCTCTGAAGATGACGAGTCCAGTGTTGGCTCTGCAGAATCGCCCACCGCCTTAAAGGTCGTCGTGCGAGCAGAGAACATTCCAACGACAATACCTAAAGGACCTAACGGCACTTGGGTCTGTGACGAGGACGACTGCGGGTTTGTCGAGCGAAATCCAGAATCAGAAGACGGACGTTTGAGAATCAACGAGCACATGCAGGATGAACACTACCATGAAGACGAGAACCAGGTCCAACGCATCAACTTGGCAGTGACGGAGGGTGACAAGAACCACCTCCCTATAGAGTATGCCTCCCCACCCTCGTCTCCCGAGTTTAGATGTACTTGTGTTTCAGATGAGCCACCAGAAGTTTCCCCTTTTTGGGACACAAATCCGAGTGGATATGTTCCAGACGGAGACGAAAATCGGTCCTCACTACAGGTCGAATTTGATGTGGATAACGCAATTGAGAGCGATATCTTTTCAGGCACCTAGGGCGCAATCCTGCAGCCTACTCAGCCATCCTATGCGATGAGTTTCGCTAACAAATGTTCTAGTCACCTGCTCGAGAAGATCCGCCAAATGGGCCACAAGATCCAAGCGACGGAAGAGTTGGAGATAAATGAGACGGTCGTGCCTCAGCCTATCAAGAGACGATTGCTCACTTGAATGGGCAATTCCTAGTGATGCTTCGACGCAGTCAGGTGTTACTCACGGCGGGGGAGGGTTTGAGGATAGAAACACGGTTGGCTTGCTTGCATGAACCTGGCGTTTAAGGGGGATTTAGGAGACATCTTCAGCACGGCATAAGCTGATGGCGTTGGTTAGAGAGAGATCACACGGATTGGCTCATGACGATGACGTGCATTATTATCAGCCCGAGATTTTGGCTTTGAGCGGCTGGCTTTGGAGGCACTGTTGTACCTAGGAATCAACTAGCCTCAATACCCAAAGCAGCTTTTCCACTTGTCATACAAATGCTCCTGTGTAACATCGAAATAAGCAAGAGAATGCGAGAGACAGAGTCTCTCAGTATTACCTCAACACCCACCACAAGTCACCCTCGTAATCGGCCAGGAGTACGTTGTATACACACCTCAGGCACGCCTGATTTATAGGTCAAGTCTGCTTCCATTCATCTGATATAGAACAGCTAACCTACGGCTTTATGAAAATTGTAATGCAAACTTAATCTTTGTCTGGGTCCAGCTTCGAGCCCCGCCGCACGCTCCAAACCCCCGGGGCTACACACGGACTGACAAATGTCTCATATTCCACCTCGGGAGTGCATACTGCTCTCATGGGGTAGCAGCTCGGCGCCTCTCGTGCTGTCCAGTCCTTCGCCTGCTTTTGATTCTCCAACGCCACGCTCCAAGGCCAGACATCTTCAGCTCTAAAACCGCCTCTGGTCCAGGTACTTGCCCGCTGTTGACCATACTGCCTTGTCAGCCGCTGAAACCTCCTTGTTGAGCGTCTGTACGCCCTTGTGGATGGCGTCGAAAAAGGCAAATGCAAGTTGAATATCCTCCTTGAAGTTGGTAGCGTAAGGGAAGAAGTTCACGGGGAACTCCTCAATTTTGGCTTGTCGCTTCTCGATTTCACCGGCGGGGAGCTCGTCCATGAGTGTCTTGACCGCAATACCCAGAGCGATATCAGGGTTGTGGAGGAAGGGCAAACTGTGAGAGACCGGTTAGTGGCTGAATTGATTGAGGGAAAACAAAGACACTTACGTTTGGCTGATTTGCAGGTAGTCGTCGCGATCTCTCTTTGATTGTGCGTACAGGAACATGGACGCCACAATTGCCTCAACCAGGTCGCGATCCGCCTCACGCACAGCAGTCGAAAGTGACCGGAAGAGGAGAAGGTTCTTGTTGAGCGGCCCGGTGTATCCATTAGACTCGTGTCTAAGTTTCAATAGGGAGGCACATCTGCTGATGAGAAGGATGCTCGCCTTTTCTTCGTCAGTACCGTTCATTGGCGCTCCATTCAACTCTTCGTGTCGATGGCCTGAGTTGAGCACATCGTGCCTGATGAGCTCGAACGCATTCAAGATAGCCTCAAATATGTTGAGACCTTCAGGAACCTGCAAGTCCTTGAGCGAATCCTTCATCGCCCAGATTGCGCTGGCAACGGCGTTACCCCAGTTCGTCAATGTGTGCGAATCATCGACGTAGCCGCGGAGATGGAGGAATCTCCAGATGGCAACCGCCGTGATATTCTGAACAGAATCGATGCCTCCAATACGCTTCTTCTCTTTGGGGAAGGTGCCTTTGACGAAATCATCGAATAGGAGTGCCAAAATCTCGAAAGCGATGGATCCAGGAGGGTCATCGACGCCTTCAGCGACAGTCTTGAAGGAGCTTTCCTTCACGTCCCATGTGGCGGCACGCTGAGATGGTGACGGCTGAAGAGACTTGTTGATTTTATACGAGAAGTTGTCGTCGAACCAAACCTTCATGGTGATGGCGTTGTGCTGGAGACCACGGTGAAGTCTCGGTATCAGAAGCGCGATGCTCTGCTCCTTGAGAGGAACAAGTTGGCTCGTAACCAGTTTTCTATACTGTTCTGAAGCAACTCCGTCCAGCGTAGGCGTGACGACGATTCGGCTATGTGTTATATAGTCGAGAACGCGAGAGCCAATGAGACCAGTGTTGAGGTAGTGGAACAACTCTCCGGGAAGCTGAAGACCAAGGTATTCATGGTTATCACTTGTGATGTGATCAAAGTCATTGACTTTGATCTCGCCTTCTTCGGATATATAGATGAAGTGGTTGACGGCCATCTTGGCTTGTCTGTACTTGTCCAGCCACTTGGGATCCTTTGACTTCAGAATGTCGCCGTAGGAGCTGCAGGCTGATTGAACAGATTTTTCCGACGCTCTGAGAAGGTTGACAGCATCGTTGATAGTAAAAGGCTGGCGTGGGTTGAGTGAAGTGTCCAGGAGTGGTGGGAAGGGCGGTAGGAAGGAGGTTCCGGTCATGAGGAGAGCGTCGCTCAACATGCCTTCGCTGATGTTCAGTGATCGCACAAGGTTCTTCTTGGATAACGATGTGACGGTCTTTGCCTCCCAGTCTATCGTGCGAATCAGAGTGTCCTTGATCGGATACAGGATCAGCTCCTGCGAGCCCATGACAGCGGCGCATTGGTCCGAATCGATCATGTCGAAATGGGCGAGCTAGTAGCCCGTCAGCATTGAATATCTCGGCTTATCCAAGCTCGAACCTACCTGGGCGGAGGCATTGTAAGGGGGGACAAGGAAGTGCAGATCGTTGTCCTTCAGGATAGACTTCAGCAAGGGGTACAGGTTCTGGATGCGAAAAGCGCCTGCAGTCTCATGGTCAGTGTAGTCCATCAACATCACAGCACTAATGCGTACCGCTGTTGGCACCGAACGCGTCGACAGCTTCTTGTGCGTGGCTGTTGAAGTATAGCTTCCAAGCTTCGTCCGTCTTCTGATTGGCAGTTCGGCCTCGCTGAACGGCGACCTCCTCTTGACCGGTCACAGACTGTCCATCAAAGATGAAGAAGGGTACGATCTTGTGTGCCTTCCATTGGTCGATATCAGCTCGGAGATGGTGCTCGATGCCAGTCATGCCACCCAGAGCGGGCAGGAGGGGTTCGTGGAAAGGAGGGGTGTCGAGGAAGAGTTGGAGGTAGTATGTCGCATCAATGGCTATCGCGCAGTCCTCGAGCTCGGAGACATCGTGACTCCTGCCCAAATGATTTAGTTAAAAGGAATCTCGACGTTGAAACATTGTTCGACTTACGTTGCTTGGCCATTGATCCAAGCGTCCTCCACAAGACCTGTCATGTTGAGTCAGTAAATCTCATGGTACAAGTCGCAGAGCGTAGCGCGGTGGTTGTGAAGCGCAGGAGTGAGAAGAAGCTGAGGTGCCCAGCCGGAATCGTCCTGCCCGCCGTTCCTTCCTGGTGTGGTGAAGTGTACAGTCCCCAGAAAGCCGAAGTAGCCTTCTTTTTGACCGGTGTAGCTCGAAAGCTTCGATTCCAATGCTCAGGCAGAGTCTTGATGCTTCTCGACCGGTGAAGCTACGGTTTATGGGTGTGTGTAGAGCTTCAAGGCAGGTACGGCGGAATCGGATGTTTTGAGGCGCAGGAAGCGGGTATGACGCAGGTAGCCTTGGAGACATGTGACGGCACGGCGAGGCGAGGATCGGGAAGAAGGAGATCGGAGAGCAGAGCAGAGGGCCAGTGCATCGCGGGGTTGGGATTTCGGAGAGGCGGAAGAGAGGAGGGAGACTCACAAGGCATCTTGTCGGGCCTTGCGCAACGGCGAGGAGCTCGTCAGCTCAAGTTGACAACAAGCCGTTTGGAGGTGGGAAGCGGGTGGAGCTTTGGTCGCGAGACCACTCAGGGGAGCGGAAGCAAAGAGACTGGGCGCTTTGTAGAAGAAGTCGGAATAACTTGCAAAGGAATGACTGAGCTTGTCATGAAAAAGGGAACGGCCGTCTGCAGGGCCAATGACACTGACAAGCGTGTCTCAAAAGAAGAGGGGAGCTTTTGGAAAAGAACGCTGGCGCTGGGCGGAGGGGAGGTAATTGGAAAGTTTGGGGGTTCAGGAACGCAGGTGCGACGTACCGTACCGCTGTACAGGGGGAGCAAGTTGGCAACCCTTGGGTTTCGAGGCGCTAGGGAAGTCGTAGGGTTAGCGTGTGTGAGAGGTGGAAGGAACCTATGGGAGAGAAAAAGATGCGGGTGCCATTTGTGGCGGTGCATGTGGCTTGCAGCTTCCACGACTGTCTCCCTGAGTTCCTCCCCTACAATGGCCTTTCCTTCAAGATGCACGTCTAGACGCCTGTGGCCATTGTCCACCTTACCTAAGGTCACATAAGATAAGGTAGTGCAACTACCTAGGAACCGTCTGCATTATCCATACAGGTTCTCTTGATTGATTTGACAAGTCTCAAGAAACACCACCTATACGGTTATACGATGTCAACCAAGCATCTCCTACCAGCAACACGTTGTTGGTCCCGGTTCCCGCCAACACGAGCCATGGCTCGAGCCACAGGCAGCATCAATTGACCGACCATGCAGCGGTTCCCGTCCCCACTGCCCCGATCCCCGCTCTTTACATTCGCCTGTCCTCTGTGTCAGGGATGTGCGATGCAGCCATGTCTTGATCCCTCTTCTTCGCCGGCCCCTTGCATGTCTGCCCCCTGAGAAACATCTTCCAATGTCATTCTTGGGGAGCACAGCAAACTTTCAGGTTACAGCTGCAATGGGACCTGCCGCCGCGTGCTTCCATCATCTTCACATACCTGGCATTATATCATACGACCACGAAGCTCCCCAAGTTTGAGCCTTCAATAAGTGGTCACTAGCATTTAATTACCTCCCGAATAATACGCTGAATGGCGTCTTCATATCTCAAACATCCGCAGCTGAACATCCATAAGGAACCTTCGGGGCCTACACGGTAGTAGCATTTGCTATTACCAGCTTTTGTCGGTCTGTTCCTCGTCCAAAAGCACGTGGCCAAGGAAGCTTAGGTACCAGAAATGTATCAAGAGCACACAATGGCGCAAGTGCGATTATAAGGCCTGAACCCTGCTCAACTGACAACCTGGCCCTGGTGCATGCGGAGGATTCTTCGACTACTGTAGAGCAACACTGACATCAAGCTCTTTCGCTTCATCCATTATAAGCTTGTAGTACATGTCATTCGCTTTCTCGGCCTAGTCTGACCGTTGGATTCCGTGGCGTTGGGGAACGTTTGCTAGCCGACAAGCTCTTGTCAAGTTTCAACTTCGCTACTTGAATATTACCTTCTCCATTCCAATACCCGAACATCCACTGTCCCCCTCATTGCGTAGGACACACATCCGAGGAGTGCAACACGACAACTCAAGACCCGTAAAGCTCTCGTGAAACCAAACTCGACCACGGATATCCCGCTACTTCGGCCCTCTCCGCCTTTCAGTCACTATCAAACACTTCGTAATAGTCATTACCCAAGTCGTTGCCCCGGCCCCAAGCGGTCCCGTCCGCCCCTCCATCATCCCAGTCTTATCGCTTATCGCATCCCACTTCGCGCGACTTCGGTTGAATCTCGCCCCTCCAACCCTCCATTCTCATAAGCCAGCTCCGGCCGCTTCCCTTTGGTAGTACTTTGTCTAACCAACCGAACCGTGAATCACAAAGAGACGGAGTCAATTCGCCATGGCGCCCAAGGCTAATATCCCAATTATTGACATCGCCGCTGAGGGTGTCGACAGGACCGCCATTGCGCGCCAACTTGTCGATGCCGCCGTCGAGCATGGCTTCATTTACATCCGTAACACGGGCAAGTACATCACGCTAAGCGACCAAGACTCGGCATTTGATCTGGTATGGCCCAACTTGAAGTGCGATCCCTTGCTAAAACAGCTCGATTGACAAAAGTGAATAGTCCAAGAAGCTGTTCAAAGCACCTGTCGAGGAGAAGGCCACCTGCACTATCCAGAAGAACAACCGCGGCTGGTCTGGTATGCACTCTGAGACTCTCGACCCCAAGAACCAAAAGGTATGGCTGATCCTACCCAAGTTTAGGGAATATCTAGACGTTAACTTTATATAGGTCGGCGATTACAAGGAGTAAGATCATAGGGCCCCTGAGCCACTTGGCATTTTTGACTTACACACCATCCAGGGCTTTCAACTTTGGCGAGTTCAAGGATGGCAAGGCGCAGCAACCTCTGCCTCCCACCATTCAATCAGATGAGCCCTTCCTGAACTCGTTCAGAGATCAGTGCCATGCTCTCTGCCTGGAACTCCTCGAGCTTCTCGGCATCGGCCTCGATGTATTCTCTCCCCTCTTTCTCAAGCTTCCCTTTATCGAGCAGCTCACTAACCTGTGTCACCAGGTCAACCCCACAGACTTCTTCTCGTCCGCTCATCTCCGCTCAAAGGGCGACTCGGGCACGATCCTCCGCATGCTCTACTACCCGCCCACCTCAGCCACCTCCTCCAACCCAGACGACGTCCGCGCCGGAGCCCACTCCGACTACGGCTCCGTCACACTCCTCTTCCGCCTCCGCGGCCAGGCGGGGCTCGAGATCCTCACCCGCGAGAACACCTGGGCCCCCGTCCCCGTCACGCCGCCCGGCACGGAAGCGGACGGCCTGCCTCCGATCCTCATCAACATTGGTGACCTCCTCAGCTACTGGACCAACGGCCTCTTCCGGAGCACAGTCCACCGCGTCGTGTTTGGCGGGGAAGGCGCCGAGGGCGAGACGGATACGGGGCCGAGGTACTCCATGGCCTTCTTCTGTCACCCCGTTGGCTCCGTGGCGTTGGATCCCGTACCGAGCGATAGGGTGAAGGAGTTTGTCGCGCCCGAGGGGACGCCGAACGCGAATCCCTACGCGGAGCGCAAGGTTATGACTGCTGACGATCACTTGTTCATGAGACTGAGAGAGAGTTATAAGGGGCTGTACAAGGAGGAGGAGGCCAAGGCATGAGTTTTAACAATTGGACAAGTCAAAATTCTGAACGTTTCTACGCATTCATAAAACGACCAACAACGCCGTGACGTGTAGTATCCCTGGCTACGCTATGCAAAGTACAGACATTATCATTCCCATTCTTAAAGCCAACACCCGGTGGAAAAAAAGATGACACTCTGCTAAGCCAATCCAACCCACCACTTCCTCTTGGGGTCCGGTTGCTCCTTGGACGGCTTGGATCCCTTGAGCACCTTTTCCAATGCTGTGACATCTTCCAAAAGACGCCAGTCATACACCTCAACATACTCGCGCCTGCCACTCGTTGCGTACACCGGATTCCTATCCAGACGTCTCATCAGTGTCTTTGTTGCTTCTCTGCGGTTGTGTTCGACGAAACAGATCTTTCGGGGTCGCTTTTTTTTGGAGCGGTTCGTCGCTGAGGTAGATGCGGGTATCATGGAATGGGACGATGACGCGGTTGTGTCGGAGGATGCTGTCCAGTCCTGCGGATCCGCGTCCCATTCGTGGATGCCGTGCAGAGGGAGGAGATTTTCGGTGACCCAGGGTTGGTATGCGATGCAGGGTGCGAGTAAGACCATCGTGTCTGCAAAGAGACAATTGTCGCCTGCATGTTGGCACTTGGGCTTCACTCGTGTGGACGAGGAGTCTGGCACGCTCTGACGACGCGGTTCAGGTGTTCCTGCTGCAGATCCTGCTATCGGCTTGCCCGGTCCATGCAAGGCAGGAATGACTGGACTAGCCGCTTTTTGGTCCATCACGACGTGCTTTGCTGTCGCTGGCCGTGTTTGGGACGCCTGAGGAGAGAGAGCCGTCTGATTGGCACTGATATCCCCGAGCGGTCGACGTGTTGGCGCAGGCAACTCTCGACCGGCGGTGCCAGGTTCGGAAGAAACCCTTGGTCGCTTCTGCGGAGTCGCGTCCACCCCCTCTGGACCCCGTTTGCTGGCCCTTGGCGAGTGTGCTGCTTCGCTGGCAGTCTTATCTTCAACGATGAAGTCTATATCTGCAGCCTTATCTGACGAAGTTGGAGGAGTGATGAGAGTTGGCCCTGGGGCTTCTACCAATGCTGGTAATCGTTGGAGAGGTTTGGTAGGGCTTATGGAAAAATTCGGCGCTGGCGAAGTTGAAGGTCGGACGGAAGAAGTACGAGATGGCGTCATGAGAGAGCCTGTAGTGGACTGACTAATGGCATCAACAGGAACACCACGAGGGTCCGCTCTTTCCAGTCTAGCAATCCAGTCCAGCATTTCCTGGCTGTCTTCCATAGCCGGGGTCGTGGTTGCTTCTTCAGCCACGGCCTGCAACTCGGAGAAAGAGATTGTGTCGATGAAGGATCGGTCAAAATGCACCTTTGATACCTGAGGGAACCTCGGCTGCCAGAAGTTGGTGTTTCCCTCCTTGTCGAATGAGAAACAGCGGACATCGAAGACCAGCGGCTCGGTGAAGACAATGGTGGGCATCTTTTGCTGAGCGACGCCTGGTGAAAGACGAAGGATCAAGGCATCATTGTCGTCAAAAGACACTGGCATCGGGTTTCCGTAAGTCGAGACGGTTTTGAGGAGGGTCTCGTTGAGTTCCACCTGGTGAACCACTGTGAACACAGGTTGGGCCTGACACCTCTCTACATCCTCCTTGTTCTCGAGGCAGCCGAGGTAGAAGTGTGTCCACTTGAGATTGGGAATGCCGTAGCACTTTGCCTTGTCTGCATCGTACCGCGCTGCAACCACAGCAAAGTCGCCCACATCGCCAAATCCTCCGATGTACTCTTTCTTCAGCTTGGTGGGGCAACCAGCAAAGGAGCGGCGACTCTCGCTGAAGTCGAAATAGGGTTCATCTGGCTTCAGCACCAGACCTTCCTCCCGGGCAGTGATGGACTCAGCAAAGGCTCGTCGTAGATAATGCGCTCCCAGTCTATCATTGAGGTCAATGACTTGGCGTTCCACAAGATCGGCATGACCCTCTCGGCGGTTAATTAACTCAGTCAATCGCTCGAAGCGCTCGTTCTGGTTGGTACCAAGCAGAGATTCCCCATCGATGAGTAAAACATCGAAGTAGATAACCATTAAGTGTTCATAGTCGTAGCGCCTAGAGACATCAGCTGGGATTCATGATGTTGGTTAAGCAGACAAAGTTTCCGTCCGCCAGTCGTGTCGAGCGAAATGGGGAGGTAGAAGTATTACAAGTAGGAAAAGGCAGCGTAATGATGGGATAGGGGCTGATGTTCCCGGAAAGGTCGACTTACTGCGAGTCTGCTTCCGTATTCAGATAGCTGCCTGACCTTGTGACGTATTTGCGTATCTTATGGAACGGCAGAATTTTCTTCTCCTACCTATCTTGTCAGTTTTCGGACAGTGTGCTGATGCGATGGAGCATACCAAGTCACTGTAGACGACGAGCTCGCCCTCAAGAATACATCCTTTGGAGAGCTTGCAATTCGGTTTCCCAATGTTGAGAGAGTCGCGTATAGCTCTGCTCTCATTAGCAATTGACAAACGGATGGTAAAGTGACGTTGAAGGCTCACCCGTGTAACGCAGCGCGGTCTTTGGTGCTATCCTTGCCACTCTTGGAAAAGATTTGGATGCATTTGAACCCCTTGTTCAAATCTACGTGGATCTGGCAATACTCGCCATCCATTTTCTTCTCGCAGCTCATACGGCCTTGGATGAGCTTCATGCAATGCTTGATGCTTCGCCCTTTCAGCCAGAACGGTCTTCCAACCTTGGTGCCCAAGACGGGCGTCAGGTGCCGCATGAGATCTCTCCGCTTTTGGTTCTCCGAGCCATTGAGCAACGAGGGGTCCTTCTTCAGATTTCCGAGGAGACACAAGGCCGCATCAAAATTATCCTGAACCATGAGTATCATGGGCAGTAAGGGGTCGTAACAATGGTAGAGATGAGCAGGGTCCAGCATCACTGGCTGGAAGTTCTTGAGTGTCAGGCGAGTGAGCCATTTCGCCTCTCGCGCTTGCAGGCGAAGGTATAGATGGCCAAGAAGTTCTTGACGGTTGCTGCTGCTGGGATTGGGCTGTGAGGCCCGAACAACCGGCGAACTGAACCTACACAAGGCAGCGAGTTTGTTTAAGGTTGAGTCGATTTCTTCAACAGTTACGACATCTTTCCCTACGCAGATAGGAGGAGGCTAGCAGTGATGTCAGCATGGGCAGATCCTCTTGTTACTTCCTCACCTGTGAGCTGGGAAAGGCTCCTCCGCTCCATTCTGCAAAGAGGCTAAGAACTCACGGTTTCCCTGAAGACTCTCTCCACACAATCAGCCAGATCCTCGCCGCGACCAGCCTCTTTGTATCGACGCAATTCTTGGAGACGTGACGTTCCGAGGCCAAAGGTACGGCCAATGATATTGGCTAGCGTGTCGGCCTGGATACAGTATACACGATCGGTGCGCTTGTCCGGGAGGAGAGTCGAGAGCAGAGCAGAGGCATCTGTCTCAGGCTCATCGATAAGTTGGCGGTGTAGCCTGAACCAGCTGCATACGCGATGCTTCAGATTCTTATCGCCGGCTTTACACTGTTTGTGGGCCTGCTCCAGAAGATCGCAGACGAGAACAAAGGAAACAGGCATCGTGACGGCTCCGTGGCTTTGGCATGGCTACAAGATTGGTTCCCAGTCATGAGAGGACTTCTTGGGGTGATGCCGATGAATCGATCAAGTGGTGCTTGTGAGAGAAAGCGTAGTAGGTTCACGTCACCGAGGGACCAGAAGGTATGGTAAGCACCAGTAAAAGTTGGGCGAGATGGAGGGCAGTTCGGTAGTGAACCGTGATGATGCCTAAGGTGAAGTGCGACCGTCTTTTGCTGCCTTCCTGTTCCGTCACCGCTTCCAGATAGCTCCTGTGCCTCTTGCGAGCGTCATGGAGATAGTTGAATACCGCGAGAAAGTCGCGTCACGCGTCTCAATTAGTCGTGGTGCGCTCTCACGTGTGTGCGTGCATTTGCGTGGTGGAGGGCACTTCAGAATGGCCGGATTTACACTAGGAGCCCACCTCAGTGACATGCACCAGAACCAGACTGGCGGCTCAAAAGGTGGGTGAAAGTCAATTAAGTGCATACGTAGTGGTGTGATTATGTAATGACACCTCGATTTTCTACCCTTGGTTTACCCGTGGTGCATGCACAAATGGGGGGCTTGATAGATGCATAAATGGGCAGGTTCTGGAAAGTCGAAAGGAGCAGTCACGTGGGTCTCTGACAAGAGTCGGGGAAACAAACTGCGGCTGTGATTGGCTGCTAATTTCAGGGAAATTGTCAGATTGGTGAGTCCCCACACAGGCCACGGTTCATCCCAGCTCTTTCCTGTGGACCCTTGCCGGGACCTGCACACCTGCACACCAGCACTCTTTCATAGTATTTTGTACGTACGCAGTAGTTTTCTTGGAGATCTGCTAGCTGATGCCTCGGGCCCTTTTTCCAAGACTTTCCCGTCCGGCGCCGCCGTCAGTCCGCCGCCCATCTTTCGAGACTGTTGCCCGGCCGCCCATCGGTTCCTGACAGGTTCCTGACTCCTGCTGCGGCTTGTTGCAGCGTCGCTGCGTCTTTACAGGTTCCTTGCAGACGATGGTGTTGCACGCTTGCTGCATTTGCTGCAAGCCCCTGAATAACGTCCGTCTTAGTGGATTGCCACGCCTGCAAACGCAAGCCTTGGCCCACTGGTTTCCGTGTGAGCGTCGACGATGGTTTCGTTTCGTCTTGTTGATCTGACGAGGCGTCCATCAAAACAATGGAAAACGCATGTGCGATGCCAGATCCAAGGTCGAGAACAATGGCCCATCAGAGATCGGAGGGGGATGATGCCTGCTTATCCAGAGACCTTCCTTTAGTGTCTTGGTCTCTTAGTACCCTTTAGCTTAGCTGTCACTGTCAACAGGGACGATGGATGTAGAGTAAACATTGCACTGGAGAAAAAAAGAGAGAAAAAGAGGCCCAGACTAAAACAAAGGCAATGCGTTTTACGGATACCACTTTCAAGAACACCACCACCGTCCACTCCACGGCTCCGTCATCAACGGCTCAAGGTCAGACCACATGCTCCGGTTCCCATCCCAACAACCAGGGCCGTAGCCAACAAAAGAGTCAACTGACCTACTGCCGCTGCTGCCATCGCATTGCATCTGCCCGACTATCAATTTGAAGGTGCCCGCCTAGTCACAGTTCTTCTTCTCTTACTCGTCCATTGTCAACTTCATTCCTTCATCTCACCATCTTCATATCTCTCACCCACCTTCCTCCGCCATTGGTTCGATCTCACCGCCGCTGTTCGCTCCTGCCGCTGTCAATACTGTCGCCATTGCTTCTTCTCTGCCAGCCTTTCGCCAAACACCTCCTCACCTCATCTCAACCTTACCTTACCCAACCTTGCTCTCTACCTTACGAATACCAATTACATAGCATACGACGACGGGTACCTTGCCTCATACTTTGGGTCCAGACATCGGTCTCCCTGTTCCCCTTGTACGATCCCAGGTCAACAACACGTCTTCTATCAACAAGGCATCAACAAGCAAGCATCAAGCAATTCGAGCAGCATTGACAGCACAGAGCCACAGTACAGGGCCTCGCCCATAGCCGCATCCTCTTTTCGACCTCGCTTGGTCGTCACAATCTCTACATCAACACACGTTTCCCCATTTTCTCTCCTTGTTCCTCATCCAACTGGGAATCTGTGCCCGAATCCGTCATTCAAACCCATCCAAGGTTCCCGACGAAGCGAAGACAGGCGAGATCAAAAGTTTCCACTGGACCACTGCAGCAACGCAACTCCTTGACTACCGAGCATTCCCACCCGGTAGCTTCTTCTCCACAACCTAGGAGTCAGTCACACACCTGGCACTGCAGTGACAGAGCAAGATTGAAAGAGGTCGAGGCCCGCCCCTATCTACCGCAGTACAGCAAAATACCCTCGTCCGCCACGCCAGCTCGGCCAATCTCGCTGTCCAATCGTCGCCCCCGTTGCGCTGCAACCCTCATTCAACGGCCCCCTACCAGACCCAGACCGCAGGACCCAGAGAGGAGTTCCTTCAAGTCCCCAGCCCACGCAATCCAACTACCCTTACTGGCAGTCTGCCACTACGGAGCACCAACTGGATCTCCTGCTTAGGTTCCTGAACCTGGATCCCCCCCGACCCCCGAACTTTCAATTCTCTCCGGGCCGCCCTCTAATCGCTGCACTTTGTGGCTATCTGCCCGGTCCAGTCACTCTTTTGCTGTGCCTGTGCCTGTGCCTGCACAACAACAAACACGCACACCTTCGGGCTGTCAATAATGACCCTCTTTCCACTCTACTCATGACAGCCATTTTTTTGCTACAAATCTGCTTCATCTCTGCTTGCTCACGCACTCTCTTATATGACCACCAGAGACACTTGAATTCCTACAAGGCTGTCGTTGCCAAAAGAACGAATCACGCTCACTCCTCCGCCGTCTGGAGACAGCGGCATATTCGGCGACCCAACACCGCCTCTCCCTCGCATTCTTTGACCAAGCGCCGTCGAGCATACACTACCGCCGCCGATTGCCAGTCCTTGCACGAGGCGTCCACCGCGCACTTTGCTCGCGCTGAGATGCAGAGCACTCACGAGATCATACGCCGTCGTGCCTCTGTGGTCGAGCGTCCGCCGGCGGACCCCCCGGCCACCACGACCACCACGGCTTTTACACCACAACCCGCCGTCACCCCGAGATCCTCCTACTTCAAGCCTTCAGAAGCCCAGTTCGAGACGCTGATCGGAGAGATGGAGACCCCAGAGGCTGTGACGCCTCCTCCGCCTACTCCCTCAACCCAAGAGCGTTTCTCGCGTGCGTCACGCTCTGAGTCGAACGCATCGCGTAACACGAACCGACTCTCACTCACCCTTCCTATTGCACCACCAACCAGCGATCCTTCTCGCCCAGCTTCCGTCGCGACGACATCGTACCCCCCGACGCCTATCGACAGCTCGACCATCACATCACCTTCAGATCCTAATGACTTTATCATTGCGATAGCAGCGCAAGAGCGGCGTGTCTTGGAGATTCGCGAAGAATTGGCTCGCGCGGAGGGTGAGCTGACGAGACTGAAACAGCAGTGGACTATCCAAGGCGGTCAACGAAAGAGAGAGATTCGCAATGAGCCAATGCGTCCACTGGCGCCTCAATTCGAGCCATCCTTATTGGACGATGACGAGGCAGGCTTGAAGAGGAGTGTCGAATTGGATCGGAGGAAATCGCTTTTAAGAGATTTACAGGGGCAAACCGGGCCTAAGGAATATAGACGAAGAGTTCTCCGTGGCGGGCACACGAGGACGCTATCGTTGCTATCACCAACCAAGCCGGAGGGTTTTGCTGTGCATGAGGATACCGCCAGTCTGAAATCGCCAGAAATTCGGTCACCGCCCATGCTGTCTCATGCTGCTCTTTCCAAGAGAGCATCATGGCAGCCGCGCTCATACAACACGGCCGTCCCCCCTGTCGCAAAGCAAATGGCACAGGACTTTAAGCTAGGTCTGTGGAGCTTCGTGGAGGATATCAGACAAGCTACCGTCGGCGATGAGCCCATCAATGGTGGACGTCCAGGCTCGACGGACCCTCATGGCAGGAGATCGTATGCTGGAGACCAGGACACCATCAAGGCCAACAGCTCTTCTCGCACCAGAGTCCCGGTGAACTCTGCCTTTGACTTGCCGCCAATGGACACGCCTAGCAAGCCGTCCAAGGCGTTGCAGGAAAGACCGAACCCTAAGCCTGCAACCAAGTCCACAACGACGAAGGCCAAACACTTCTCATGGACTCCGTTGACTTTCGACTCCTTCGATGATAACGACTGGTCCAACTGGGACTCACCCCAGCCGTCCTCGGCCAAACCAGCACGCTGGAGTGGATCGACCGTTGGTGGAGCAGAGGACCTTGCGTCAATGGCCGAGACCAACGACGAGAATGTGACTCCACTGTAAGAGCCTCGCTAATGATGTTTGCCACCCTTGAGGTATACTAAGACATGTGTGTAAACAGTAAGAAGAAGTCGTCAATCACCATTGACACATCCGCTGCTCGGCCCGAGCCTCGACCTGAGTCAGCCCTCTTGTCTCCCGCTAGGCTGGAGGAGCTTCTGCCAACCGTCGTCAACAAGCTGTCACCCGGCAATCTCAAGCGAACAGCCAACAATCTCATGGACGAATGGGAGAAGAGCCTCAAAGAGAATGACCAAGAGGAGCAGCTCATCGACTTCAAGGAGACCACGGCTTGAGCTACGTCTACAAGTCACAATCATCACGACGAAAACGCACAAGAATCGGCACGCTAGCATTGCAGCGAAACTGCCAAAGCTGCACATACACGAACTCATCGCATTGATTACAGTATAGATAAAAGTACAAAAACTGGACCGAACTGCACAAAGCGGCCAGACGAGATGAGCGGACAGGTTTTCTCCGCTGAACATAGAATATTCATTGGAGGCCAGAGCAAGGCCTCGGAAGAGTTATGGAGAGGAAGAGAGCAGCGAGGATGCTGTTCAGATATCAGCAAAGTCGAGTAGGACTTGCATGGAAGATCAGGGCTGCCGTGATAGGAGCTCATATCGGCGTATGTCTGGGTGCGCGGTCTGGCAGTCATTTCATGATGATGAATGACCTGTTGGGTAATGGCAATGGCATAATGACGATACTAATGAATGTACGAACGTAAGTTTTTCGTGCTTTGGGATGGAATCAAAACATTGGCGTACGATACTGTTGGACCTTGTTGCTCAGCGTTTCCCAGGCCTTTTTTGTCTACCAACGAGATGGTCACATTACGGGAGATGCAGCTTCAGGAATGACTTGCTTAAACGTAGTTAGTTAGACTTAGTGTTAAATGTTTATGATTCGATGGTCAACCTATTTAGTCCAAGTGATGTCGGTGCCTCGCCGTGCAATACCTTATATTAGAGATGACTTCACTTTAGGAGTTGTCCCTTGCCTATCTAATTGTTGCGATCTTTCGTTTGCATCCAAAAATGACATCTGCTCTTATATGCCCTAGAGAGACAAGAACACGGGCTCGAAGGAGTATATCAAGTTGTGACAATGCGTGCGCGGCAAACTAGTCCGCGAAGGTGATAACCAAGCAAGGGATGCTTGAGATCGGTGCTGTCTCGGGGCCAACGGTGCGGAGAACAAGCTGTGTCTTAGAAGCAGCTAGCTTGGTCGTGGCAGTGCAGCTTTCTCAGGCTCACAGCAACCCAAAGTGGCCGGCGGAACTTTGCTTGACGACTACCGGCCTGCCGCTGCGTATTGAACCGAACTGATGTCATCCCTACCTCTCCATTTCTACCTCATGTGAAGGACAAAGAAGCAAGTGATGAACCATTTTCCGAGAGCGAAACCATATTACCTATAGTACTTTTCACCAGTTTCAGAACCCCACCAACGAGAGGGCTCACCCCAAACATCGTGTACGGTCGGTCATCGTACGAAGGATCCCCGATTTACGAAGTCGAAGTCCGTCCTTGCCTTCAGGCGAGGCCATCACCACTAAGTAGGTATTTGGTTCACTTGCTTGTTTACGAAAAGCAATACGGCGCTTGTCACAGTTCGTCGCCAGCTGTCCCGTCATCAATGGGCAATGCCCATCAAGTTGGGGAAAATGATTGGCAAGGTCAATGAGAGCCGTTCTTTGTCTGGTCGTTTGGCTTCTTGAATGTTTCTCTGAAGTAAGGAATCAGTGAGATGCACTGGTACTCTGATCTATGTTGCAAACCAGCAGTGGAGCTTCTTTTGACTGATTGCTCGGTGGGCTTCGGATCCATACAAGGTCCAGCAGATATGTCGGTCCAATTGACTTGCAGAAACGGAAAAACATGTTCTCGTAGTTTTTGTAGTTGCGGGAGGTCTAATTCAAGAGAGGTTGGACCGTGCCATGCAGAGAGGTGGTTTTTGCAAGATCTTGAGCCATTGAAGCCAGGTTTGGTGCAATGATTGTTCTCGCATATCTGACAGCTACTTGCTTTGAGGTCATACTTCTCAAGCGCGTTACCCAGGCTGACTTTAATTTGATACGATATGCACGGTCCGCATGTTGCGGCCGCCTTCACCGCTACGAAGAGCAGTGGTCCCAAAGCTTAAGGTCGCAGACTATGGGTCAAGTCTGTTGACCATGTTATCGACAACTCGGCAAAGGCCAATGCAGTTGAGGCCCAGATCAGCAAGGGAACGAGCCGAGAAGGCTATCGGGCCCTGGAGCAGACCGAAGCTTCCCCCGATCTCGGCAGGTGGGGTGTGGGGTTGAGGGGAGGGTTCTCCAGGGCACTTAGCAGGGGCGGGGCACTACTTACTTTTGCCAGCGAAAGCAGGCCATTCCGGACGAACAACTCGTCCCCGACTTCGCTCAGCTATATATCTCGTCGAACTTTCTTCAGTTACCTCACTTTCTCTCCCAATTACCCCTCCTACGATACCCCTCATTCGGAAAAGTATTGCAATCATGGCGGAACACAACATTGTTGTCTTTGCAGGCGACCACTGCGGCCCAGAGGTGACTGATACCCCCGAGCTTTCCCACCCTTGAATCTAAACAGAGAGGGACTGACTTTGGTAATTGAACAGGTCATTGCCGAGGCAATCAAGGTACAGGCCGGTATTTTTGATCTGCAATTGAGCACATCTGACGCAAAATGCAGGTCATCAAGACAGTCGAGAAGCTGAGCCCGACTGCTGGCAAGTTCAATCTGCAGGACCACCTGCTCGGAGGGGTAAGTCGTCCCCCGATGACGGATCACACGGGCCCAAAGACATTCACGAGAGAAGTCTCTTGCTAACAACTGAATTTCTCCTCAGTGCTCCATCGACCAGACCGGCTCCCCTCTCACCGACGAGGCCCTCGCTGCCGCCAAAGCCGCAGACGCCGTGCTCCTCGGTGCCATCGGTGGCCCTGAATGGGGCACCGGCGCCGTCCGCCCGGAGCAGGGTCTCCTGAAGCTGCGCAGTGAGATGTGCGCCTACGGAAACCTCCGTCCCTGCTTCTTCGCGTCTGACGCCCTCGTCGAGTCCTCCCCCCTGAAGGCGTCCGTCTGCCGCGGCACCGACATGATTATCGTCCGGGAGTTGACCTCAGGCCTGTACTTCGGAGAGAGAAAAGAGTACGACGGAACCAATGCGTTCGACACTACCGTTTATACGAAACCCGAAATCGAGCGTATCGCGCGGTTGGGCGGCATCCTTGCCAGGAAGAGGGGAGACTCGCGGGTTATCTCGCTAGACAAAGCAAACGTGCTGGCGACAAGCAGACTCTGGCGTACTGTCGTTGACGAGGTCTACAAGAACGAGTTCCCTGATCTCAAGGTTGAGCATCAGCTTATTGACAGCGCGGCCATGATCATGGTCAAGAACCCGACGCATCTGAACGGTGTCCTATTGGCACCCAACTTGGCCGGTGAGCGAAGCCCCTCGTCCACCTCCAAGGCGGGTTAGCTAACGAATCTCCAGGTGATATTCTCAGCGACGAAGCGAGCGCCATCACTGGAAGCATAGGACTCCTCCCCAGCGCAAGTCTCTGCGGAGTGGGCACTGCAGTGCCTTCTATTTGCGAACCTATTCACGGTAAGACTTCTTTCTTTTTCGAACCCTCATGTGGACATCAGTCGCTAATGCAGATGACAGGGAGCGCGCCGGACATTTCAGGCAAGGGGATTGTGGTACGTCAAGACTCCGTTGCGGGCGATTTCTATCCATTCTCTGCAAGTACAGAGCTGACATCGTTTGCAGAACCCTATTGGCACCATCCTTTCCGTGGCCATGATGTTCCGGTACTCTCTGAACCTCGGCCACGAGGCCAAACTTGTCGAGGACGCGGTCCGCGTTGCCATCGACGCCGGGCTGAGAACCAAGGATATGGGCGGCAACACAAGCACCGCCGAAGCAGGAGACCTCATCGTTGCTGAGCTGTCCAAGATTCTCAAGGCGTGAGATGTCTCATGCAAAACGGAGATCTGAGAGCGAGGTTGAAGCAGGAAACGGGAAAATCGGGGTGGAGGGTGGAAGAATTAAAGAAAATAGTAGCTGGAAAAGCGAAATGAGTCGAGAAAAGCGGTGGTTGGCAGAACAGTGGTTGAGACGAGATGAGCTTGTTATCACTGGCGACGAAATAACAAAAAATGATGTTAACTTGACTGGGCACCCAGTTTCGCTAAATTGACTCCGCCGCTACTTTCAGCAATACTTACAAATTCGATACTTTCCTGCGGTGGTAATCAGGATAATTACAAATATCTCAATAGACACTTGTATAAGGGAGTCACTGGATATTCCCAGCCTGTTTAAACCTGAAGATTTCTCTTCTTGCCTTACTAGCGATATTCCAAGTTCTTCAACAATAGCTTTGTTACGGCGTCGGCAGTACTGGCAGTAGTAGCATCTCGTTGGCCTAGCTGGCAGCAGCACAACGTCGATTCAGCCAGACTACACAGTCAAATTGATCAGACTCAAACTAAAAGGGGTGCATTCAACAACAGGTAATCTAGGAGCAGCTTCGTTAAGTACAAAGGAGCAATCCTGAACAAACAGATATGCTGTGAGATGGTGTCCGGTTGACTATCAGTAATCGGGCTTCTGCAAGGTACCTCGCCTAACGCCGGGCGCCTGGCCAATGCAGTCACGTGATTTCAACTGTCCAGTCAGGAGCTGGGCCGCCGTCTGCAACACATGGATTACAGTGACGTCGAAGCTCTAGAGATAGCTTCTGCTCAACCTCTAACAACACCTCGACGACATCCATCTAGCCCGCCCTCCCCCTCAACCGCCGACCCTCCTACACCCTTCATCGACTCTCCCTTTGTGACGACGCTACACGAGCCGAGCCCTGCTCGCGTCGAACCGCCCAGCATGCCTCCTGTAAGCACCCCGATCCCAACGCCCCGTTGTCGCCATCGCCGCCTCTGTTATGCGGCATATGCCAGCCCCACAACACTCGATTGCTGGTTGCTGACCTCGGGCGCCAACCCCTACAGAAGCAGAAGAAAGAAGCCAAGGTCGAGCAGGAGGAGGATCTCGGACATGGTAAGCTCTCAATACTCTCCGATGCATCTTGATGATGCCATTGACTGACCGTATCGTGCAGGCAAGATCTTCTCCGTCTCAGGGTTCGTTTGAAGCTCCCCCGACGCGCCTCGGTCCCTCAATCTGTCGCGCTTGACGACTAACCATGTAGATAGACCCGTCATTGTCGCCGAGGACATGATTGGTGTTGCTATGTACGAGTTGGTAGGTTGAGATGCTCGAAAAACAACTAGGACGATGTCTGACATATTCGCAGGTTAGAGTCAGTCACGATAACCTAGTCGGTGAAGTCATTCGAATCAACGGCGACCAAGCAACCATTCAGGTCTACGAGGAGACTGGTACGTTTTCGACTCCCAATTTCACCCCTCTCCGAATCACATGTAACTAATGCAATGCGCAGCTGGTGTCACTGTCGGTGACCCCGTCTACCGCACCGGAAAGCCCCTCTCCGTCGAGCTCGGCCCCGGTCTGCTCAACGGTATTTACGATGGTATCCAAAGACCTCTCGAGAAGATCAGCGAAATATCGAAGACCATTTACATTCCCCGCGGTATCGCCGTCCCTGCCCTCGACCGTAATAAGAAGTGGGATTTCGAGCCCACTGCAAAGGTTGGCGACCACGTCTCAGGCGGCGACGTCTGGGGTACCGTCAACGAGAACTCGTTCATTTCCGTCCACCGAATTTTGCTCCCTCCTCGCGCTCGCGGTACCATCACCAAGATCGCCAGCAAGGGACAATACACCGTTGCCGAGCCCCTTCTCGAGGTCGAGTTCGATGGAAAGAAGACCGAGTACCCCATGATGCAGACCTGGCCTGTGCGAGTTCCCCGCCCTACCACCGAGAAGCTCCAGGCGAACGAGCCCTTCATCGTCGGTCAGAGAGTGCTGGACGCCCTTTTCCCTAGTGTCCAGGGTGGTACCGTCGCCATTCCTGGTGCTTTCGGCTGTGGCAAGACTGTCATTAGTCAGTCTGTGTCCAAGTTCTCCAACTCCGATGTCATCGTCTACGTTGGTTGTGGTGAGCGCGGAAACGAGATGGCCGAAGTCTTGAAGGATTTCCCCGAGCTTACCATCGACGTTGACGGTCGCAAGGAGCCCATCATGAAGCGTACTACCCTCATCGCCAACACCTCCAACATGCCCGTCGCTGCTCGTGAGGCCTCTATTTACACCGGTATCACGGTCGCCGAGTACTTCCGTGACCAGGGTCTCGACGTTGCCATGATGGCTGACTCTTCCTCGCGTTGGGCTGAGGCTCTTCGTGAAATTTCTGGTCGTTTGGGAGAAATGCCTGCTGATCAAGGTTTCCCTGCTTACCTCGGTGCCAAACTTGCCTCTTTCTACGAGCGTGCCGGTCGCGTTGTGTCTCTCGGTTCACCCGAGCGAAACGGCAGTGTCAGCATTGTCGGTGCCGTCAGCCCCCCTGGTGGTGATTTCTCCGATCCTGTCACTACTTCAACTCTCGGTATTGTACAGGTCTTCTGGGGTCTCGACAAGAAGCTCGCCCAGCGAAAGCACTTCCCCTCCATCAACACCTCGCTCAGTTACTCCAAGTACACCATGGTTCTGGACAAGTGGTATGAGAAGGATTACCCCGACTTCCCCCGTCTCCGTGACCGCATCAGACAGCTCTTATCCGACTCTGAGGAGCTTGACCAGGTCGTGCAGCTGGTCGGAAAGAGTGCGCTGTCTGACCCTGACAAAATCACTCTGGATATCGCCGCGCTTCTGAAGGAAGATTTCCTGCAGCAGAACGGTTACTCAGACTACGACCAGTTCTGCCCGCTGTGGAAGACGGAGTGGATGATGAAGCTCATGGTTGGCTTCCACGACGAGGCACAAAAGGCCATTGCTCAAGGCCAAAGCTGGGCCAAGGTCCGTGAGGCCACCGGTGACTTGCAGGCCAAGCTGCGTCAACTCAAGTTCGAGGTTCCCTCCGAGGGCCAGGAGGCTATCGAGAAGAAGGTGAGTCTACGTGATAACATGACCGGTCGTTGTCTACTTGCTAACCCAATTGGGACAGTACGAGGACATTCAGCAGCAGATGCTGGACAAGTTTGCTTCTGTTGTTGACGAGTAATCGCGTTTAAGCATCGAGTATTGTCCTGTTTAGTCTGCATTCCTTGCACCGTGAGGGGATGTCTCTGGTTTCAATAGATAAGTCTAGGGCGAAGACGCATCATGCATGGTAGTTCCTTGTTTCGTAGTCTCGGCTAGTATATCCTATCTGTAAATGAACGTTACTATAGCCGAAGTGCGCTTTACATTCCAAACGTGAGACCGGCATGCTGCATGGGTGAAGATGTACATCAAGGGACTTGAAGATGCCTGGTCAGCTACGCTCAACTCCACTATAATGGTAGGACTCATACTGAAGCCTTCAAGCTAATCCTTACCGTTACCAGACAGGATGACATCACCGTCCCCGATGCTTTCTAGGAGACAGGCCGAGTCACATATACGCATTGATCCCAACGAAGTAGGCTAGGTGGCCCCCAGGTAGCATGGTCGGAATATGCTCAAACAATTGAGCTACATGAAAACAGACGGTAATTGCACAAGGAAGATGACATACTTTCCCATCTCATCGCCCCAAATCTCTGTCTGCATTTACGACATCGTCAAAAGGTGGATCTGGCGCCTGCTTCTTCCTGCCTTTCGGATGAATACTAGACGGACGAGAGAGAGAGAGAGAGAGAGAGAGCCGATATAGGTCCCATCAATCTCATTCCTGTCACCAGCCAGCAGGCGCCCGTCTAGGTCGACGGGTCGGGTCAAACTGGCTGGGTGGTGGTGTAGTTTATGGTCAACAATCAAATTACGCCCATAGCCTACTCGACGACAAGCTCCGAGTTCGAGTTCGATTCCCAGCAAGTGCACCAAGAGATGTAGCCACACCTGTGGTGAACTCTTTTTTGCTTCTTTCCTCTGATTATTCAGACGCCCATTACTTATTTACATTGAACCAAGAATGTTCATCCCCCTTTTCATCATTTACTCATCTCTTCCTCGAGCCAAGCTGGGATCGCAGGCGGATGCTCCCAGCCGTCGAGATAGCTCTGCTTGGAGACGCCCCCACCGCTCGGCTTGGCGTAGATACCCGTCACGTACCAGACCGCCTCGCCCTTCTTGATGGTGTGCTGGAGCGTCGGGATGGTGGTGCGGCTCTCGACGAGATTGGAGTTGGGGTCGGCGTTGACGAGGTTCGCGGTCCGCTCGATGCGGGCGCCTTCCAGGGCTTTTATGCCCACGGCGCCCTTTGACACGGCAAAAGAGCCGTCTTGGCCCCTTGCGAGCCCTTCGGGCGTGTTTGTGTCGTAGTTGCCAATGATTTTGGGAGATGTGCCCTCGCCCTTGGCGGCGTCGTAGAGGTCGAGGTACCGCCCGTTCGTCGAGTTCTCGTTGGCAATGGCAAAGGAGCCGTCGGCGGTCATGACATCGCGGCCGGCTTTGATGTGGTGGATGCGCAGGTGCCAGTTGGGCGTAGCCTCAGCGGGTGGCACGAGGATGGTCTTGATCTCGACGTCGGAGAAGGGCTTCCACACCGAGACGAGGACCGGCCCGCCGCTGCCGTCGCCTCTGGACTCGATGCCGGCGTACTGCGAGAGCCGGCGCGTCTTCCAGTACTCGCCGCCGTCGTCTGAGAGGCCGAGCTGCGAGGCGAGGGCGTACTGCTCGAGGGAGAAGAGGCCCGGGGGCACGGAGTATCCGTAGGCGCTCGAGTAGGCAAAGGCGCCGTATTTGGCGTGGGTGCCCTTCATCGGGTAGCTGCAGGCCTGGCCGGAGGAGAGGAGCATGCAGTGACCGCCGATGTTGCTCATGATGTGGCCTGGTTGGGAGAGGGGCCTGAGTTTGGGAATCACGTCCCAGGCTTGTTCTTCGTTTGATGTCCAGAAGGGGTGGTCTTCGGGGACTGCGAGGCAGATGAAGGCTAGGCAGGCCCAATACTGGTAGGGGTTATCGGTCAGCCATGAAATCTGAGAAATACAGAGGCAAAACTCACAGGGCTTCCGGGACTGTTGTAGTTCTCGGCCATGTACATGTTTGGGTAAGAGTACCCAACCGTCAACGTCCCGCTCGGGCTCCACATGTCGTGCTGCGTCTGCCACCAGCGCAAGTGACGCATCACGATGCCCTTGACCATACCCCACGTCAGGGGCGCCGGCAGCTCGACGCCGGCGTACGCGAGGGCGCCCCAGAACGAGACCATGGCGAATCGGTAGCCGACGCTGCGGCCAAAGGGGATGGCGCGCCCTTGTTCATCAAAGTAGTGCGCGAGGTCGAGGGCGACCAGCTGCGCCCTCTTGCGGAACTCGGCGGCGCGTTCGGGCTCGTCGTCGCCGGCGATCTTGGCGTAGAGGAGCTGGAGGAACTGGATGGCGAAGCTGGAGGAGTAGTAGTCCATCTGGTGGATGCCCTCTGGCCCGTCGTTGGACCAGCCACCGGCGCGGTAAAAGGTGTCGAGGTGCTTGATGTCTGCGTCGAGGCGGGCCTGGGAGAACTTGCCGCCGTTCTTCTTGAGGCCTAGGTTGGCGAAGACGCGAAACCAGAGCCAGTTTGTGTTGGGCATGCTGGGGCAGGGTGTAAGTGTTAGTGATGAAGTTCTGACGGAGGGATGACTGCGTATCTTACTTCTTCTCGTTGATTGAGTTGCCTAGCCAGTTCTCAACATTTACACGCTCCTTTTCGGATAGACTTTCCCAGATAGTTGGTGCAACGGCAAGAGTGAAGCCTATCATGTCTAGTTAGTCTCTACGAAGTGATTGGCGCATTTACTCGCGTCAGAAAAATCAAACATACCAAAGGGGCACATCTCAACCATGCGCTGGTCGTTATCCCGAGGAAATCCCCAATACTCTGGGTTCTCGGGGTCGGTGCCGGCCTTGATGCCCTGGATCCACCACTCGGTGCCGCGGTACTCTCCCCCGCCGGCTAGGAGGGCCGCGAGGCCCCAGATGGGGCGGAGGATGCCCTCGACCTCGGAGGCGGCCTGGTCGAAGCGGACGGCGGTGGCACCGGGGACCTTGACGCGGGCTTTCTGGGGAGAGAAGAAGGGCTCGAGGGGGTCAAGGAGGGTGCGGAGGAGCTCTTGGACGGAGGACCTGTCTGTGAGGTTTACTTTAGAGAAGGGGTGGGCGCCATTGTAGCCCAGCACGAGGCCGGTTTTGGGGTCCTCCATAATGAGCTTGAGGTGTGATTATCGACTAAGACTGAGCGACGCCTTGTGAGAGAGCAGGAGGAACGGGATGAGAACGTCAGGTAAGAGGAGAGAAAACATTCGGAATAATGATCAACTACCTATGTACGCGGGGGAACATCGAGGTCATAACCTGGCATCCCACGCAACGAACCTCGCGTTAGAATTACTCCGACCAGCATGAGCCTATAAGCAAACCGGACGACTTTCGCCGTGCGGTTGTAGACGCAGAACCATCGAGCCTAGCTTTGCGGGATGGTAAGATGGTGGGGTCGACTTCAGTCTTCGGGGGAGCTCCGTCCAATGTTCTTTTTCTCTCCCCTTCAAGATCGTCAAAGCAGGTTGTTGCTTAGGGGCACCTCCCCGCTCAATGTTTGGGGTTCGGTGGGGGTGGAGCGTGAGGGGGAGGGGCTGCTACGACAAAGTACGGATACCCTCGTATGAATAAATGCTACTAATGGCGATGCGGAGGAGGGGAAGAGTGAGCTGTCACGTATCCGTGTTCGCGGCTAAATGCGAAATGGAAGACAACTTGCAGCACCGGGACCCATGCCGGCCGTTCAGCCTTAATGCATTGGGGGCAGCTCTGCTGCAAATTAGTTAGTCTTGGAGATTGATGGTGCAGGAGACCGGCGATGCATGTGCTGTCACCTGGGTGAAGAATATGCCGAATTGTGTGGTCCATGGAGGCCAGATTTCTCCGGATGAAGAGCTCGCCGTATTTCCTTCTGGGATTCGTAGCTTCGGGGTTTGCGGCCGGCAGTAGGACGGATTGAGGACCGAACATCACGGCTGTTGTTCTGCAGCTGCAGAACGGCTTACCTTCAATTACAAGTCAGGCCGTCCAGGTTTTCATCAATCGGAAGGGTGGCCGAGTTGGTTATGGCGCCAGGTTAAGGTCAGCTTAACATCTGTTTCCTGGTGGGGCAACCCGCGCGAGTTCGAGTCTCGTCCCTTTCATTTTTCGATTTTTTGACACTTGTTATTGCATCTTTTTACTAAAATGAACGAGTCTGCTCATTTTGTGCCTTCTGCGCTGTATTTTGCTGTACTTTGACACAGTAGATGTTGGTGTCGGGTTGGTTGAGCAAGGTTTACATACTGGGGTTTAAAAGTTATAGGAGATGCCTTCCTCCCTTTAAACGATGTTTCCACAGCTCTACGCTTTGCACGTCGAGTTTCCATAACCTTGATGAATTTGGGGCATTGAATCCAGGTGTAAGTTTCTTAGCATACGGCGCGCAGCTGATTGTGCGCTTGCTTTCCCGTCATTCTTTGAGACCTTGCTAATGGACTTCGTGGTTTCTCTCATAAACATAAGCCCTCGAAGTCTCATTAATGACAACCAAGTACGAGACAGGGATGCCTTCTGATAAGGTGGACAAGATGTCGATGCATCCTGCTTAGCTCAAGCTGGTGGTGAAGAAGTAAAGCTGGGAGCTTGTCTCCAGCGAAGATGAACCAGTCAATACACTCTTCATGGATCCTCCTTTAGCAACCACAAGATATTCCCATCTCAATATCCCGCAGACGAAAACCAGGGCCATATAATGGTGTCGCTGAGCTGTACCACTACGCATATATGAAGGTATAGCACGCGTGCCCAAGATGCATTTCCATTATTTGGGCAAAGAAGCCATTGCCGAACAGAAGATGTCGGTCACTGATATTGATCCAGTTCAAGCCTGGAGAAATCAGTTCAAGGGGGGAGAGCATAATGAAATACATATACTTTTTGCCTACTATAGAAAGGCAAGAGGAATAGTGGGAAAGCGCGGAACCACAGAGTCTCACGAGAACACTCGACTATCTAAGGTATACATGTAGAGTAGGTGCTGACATTCCACGTCACCGGAGGACTTGAAGCTTCTAGCTGGAACATGTTTAGAGAGGAGCTGAGCAGGCCTCCGGTGGACACTCACATGATACCTGCCCATTTTCAAGTTGAAATAGCTATAGACGTTCGATGTTGTGTATCTGCGTAGGCTAAGATTTCTCGCGTCTTCAACCTACCTTCATACTCTCTGTACGATCGTAACATTACAGAAAAAAAGCTCACATACGCATCACATAGAGCCCAGGCATCAGACGATTTGCTTCAGAATCGCATCGTTGGAACGTAATATTCAGCCTTGATTCATCTTCTTCTTACCTACAACCAATCCTCCAAAAACCCCATCCTCATCCATCCCCTTCAGATGACTTCTCATCCTGGCCATCCGCCATGCACAACTACAACCCGCCCATGCAACAGAATACAAACAAGCCCAAGAAATTTCAGAATGCCAAACCCAAAGACCAGCCGGGAGCTCAGCATTCTTCCTCATTCTCGCATGCTTGAGTGTGTTAATCCCGAAGAAGTAAGAGCTCAAATGGCCACCAAAAAAGCGCGCAATGATGCAGCGATGCAGTACACAGACGCCCCAATGATTTGCAAGCGCCCCGACTCCTTGCGTGCCTCCTATATATCGTGGGGGAATGCTTCACAATCGAAAAAAAAAGGGGGACCACTCCAAATCCTCAATTCGCTTCCTCCCCTCCAACTGACAAGATGGTAGGTACTGTGTGATTGAGCTTGTGTAAGAGGGGATGGGTATTTCCCCCCTTCAATGCTAGTGTTCTTCGAAGTAGTAAACATTACGTAGTTTTTTGTGTATATATGACTCCGACTGGTGACTTTTTCTTCCCACATGAGATCCGGGCTCATGGCTCTACAGGCGTGTTCTCAATCGAAGGTGTCGGGGGTATCTCCTCCTCCTTCGCTTCCGTCACAGTCGTGTCTCCTTCGCTGACGGCAGTGTTTGTAGACGTTGCCTTCTCCCGCCTGCGTCTTCTCATCCTCCTCTCTTCCTCGGCCGTCTGCCTCCTCGAGCGCCGTAGGCTCTCTCGCTTCTCCGGGTCGGCCTCATCAGCCCCGTCTCCTCCACGTATACCTTGTAGCAATAACGCCGCACGATCTGCCACGTCATCCTCTCCAGCTTCTCTGGGTGACGATAGTCCCGGGCTGATGGGGTTGCCTTCTTCGTCAATAGTCGCCTCCTTGGGCGCTTGTTGTAGGGAGGCCTCAACCTCGGGGATTTCGTCTGGATCAGGGATTTTTTGACCAGATGCGACTCGCACCTGGTGGCGGTCCTTAAGTCTGGCCCTGCGACGACGATCTCTCTGGTCTCGTGTTTGAGGCGCGGCAGCGCGCAGCTTCTCCAGCAAGGAGTCCATGGCACCTGCGCTTGATGGCGAGGGCGGTGCTCCGTCCACCTTGGCATTTGATACCTGGAGCTGGGCGTGCTTCCGCTTCATAGACGCCTCGTTGCGCCTGCGCGTCTCCTCGAGCTGGACGTTCTTCTCCCGGGACTTCTTCCAGCCCATAATGAACATGGCAAGCTTGGCAAAGAAGTCTCTGCGGGCGTTCTCGTCGGTGGGGTCTTCGCCATAAAAGACCATGATGTCGTTGTACGTCTTCATCATCTCCTCCAAGTACAGCTGCATCTCCTCCGCCTTTCTTCTCGCGTCCTTCATAATTCTTTGGACAATTTGACTGACGCGATCTTGGGGATGGAACTTCTTGGAATCGCTGAGATTACCGGCATCGAGAGACATCTGAACGTTCTTCACCGTGTCGATGTATTGCTTGGCGTCCTGCTGAACTTGCTCAATATTGATCTTTTGAGCCATCACGACACCGTTGATGTCATCCGAGAAGTCTTCCCATTCGGGGTACTGGTTGCGAACGATTCGCTCGACGAGATCAGCGAGCGTAGATTCGTTCTTGTCATCCTTGACCATGCCTAGACGGGCAAGAGAGCTCAGCTTGAAACCGCGAGCCTGCTTGTTGGCGTCGTTCATGTAGTTTCCGATATCGAGAATGAGACCGAGAACGTTCATGAGGGACACAGAGTCTCGCAGAGACTCGGATACGGCAACGACTTGGCGCATCTTCTCCGTGATCTCGTCAAAGTCAGGCTCGAAGCTCCTAGTAAGGGCCAGAGCTCGCATACGGGCCTTCCAGTAATGATGCAGTTCAAAGGCTGTGAACAGGTAAATCTGATCCTGCCTCGTGAGTTCGGCAGGGTCCTGTTCGCGTTCGGCCTTGTCGGGGTTCGCGCCAGTCCAATCCTTACTGTACGGAGCCATCTGCTTCGCTGTGTTATCCGGAATATTGCACAGATCGTCTTTGCGCAAGAAGTCCATGACGACAGAGTTATCTAGAATATCCTTGTCGCAATGAATGATGGACTGCACGATTTTCTCGACGGAAACCTGAGAAAACTTGGCGAAGGCAATTTCTAAAAAGCGCAAGTCAGTTGCTGTCACTCAAAGCAATGCGGGAAGAGGAGAAAAACATACCGAAAGCTTTGCGAAGGTCTCCGGAGATGATCTGCTTCTTGTCATCCTTCTTCGCGCCACCACCGACTCCAAGTCTCTTGATTTCCTTGGCCATGAAGAGCTTCTCAACCTCGTCCAAGATACCCTTGCGGCTAAGTTCGAGGTACTTCTCTTCGCGCTCCTCAGCAGACGGAGCATGGGCGGCCCAATGCGTAGTCATGTGAGAGTCGACCTTGTCCCAATGAAGAGCCTTGAGCTTCTTCTTTGGACGAACAATAGGCAAGCCGATAGTATTCCCGCCGGCGAAGGGTGTTGCCTGTGATAGGAAGTGGCCTGAGATGGCGCCAGGCAATGGCGGAGGGGGAGGTGGTGGCATTCCCGGAAGACCCCCTGGGGGTGGTGGAGGGGGTGGCGGAGGCGGCGGAGGTGGAGCGCCAGTTGGTGACAGCATTCCCGGCATAGGCGGAGGCGGCGGTGGTGGGGGAGGAGGTGGTGGAACACCGGTTTGACCGGGCATAGGCGGCGGCGGAGGTGGAGGAGGGGGTGCGGCAGCCCCAGTAATTTGGATCTTGGGAGGTTCGCCATCGGCAGGTGTGATTGGAGAGCCGGACTCGAGGCTCGGATGAGAAGGGCCAGTTGTTGCGCCCTCGGCGTCTTCTGAATCGCTTCCCTCGTATTTCTTGACCTTGCCGGCCATCTCGCCAAAGAGACCGGCCTTCTGGTTGGGATCCATAACGGGGCGGCGGATTTCGACGACCCGAGGCTTCTCATAGACAACCCCGTCCTCGTCCATTTCAACGTCTTCGCCGTCGGGGAAATCGCCTTCCATAGGTTCGCCACGGCCGTTGACTGGCTTGCGGGTAATCTTTGTGTTGCGGTTGACGCTTCCGAGCATGCTGTTTGTGAAGTCTCTTGGCGGCGTACCAAGTCCTGATCCCATCGTGCTGTCGTCCATCTCCTCGCGGAGAGCGCGTAGTCGATCAGATGGACCGACAGCATCTCCCCACACTCTACCCTCCAGCTTGAACTGGGTCTTTTGGCGTTCGATCTGCATCTGAAGACGCTCCATGAGTCGGTCACGGTCCAAAATGCCCTGCATCCGAGCCGGGTCTTCTTCCCCAAGCTTGTTGGTACCCTTGACAGCATTAGAGGCAGCAACGTCTTGTGCGTCTCTAAGCATGAGGTAAAGCTCTCTGGTCTCGAGCTCGTACCGTTGAGCTTCCTTCTGACGCAGCGTCTGGATGTTCTCGAGCTCAGCTTTCAGCCCTTCGGCTTGCCGCCTTTGAGCTTCAATGAATCTCGCCTGCTCGTCTAATTGCTTTTGAAGCTTTGCCACGAGTCCATCGGCACCCAGCTCTAACCTCTCCCTCATCTCATCTCTCTCCGCCATGGCAGCGTCAGCAACCTGGCGTGCCTCGAGTGCCTCATCTTGGGCTTGCCGCGCCTCTGAATCCGTGTGAAGCTTATCTAACAGACTCTGGACAGTGAAGTTCAGGCTTTGCTTGAGGTCCATGTTGGGCAAACGCCTATCCATAGCCACATAACTCAACATTGAGTCCACCAGCTGGAACATCCGCAGTCGCTCTTCACCATCATTGTCGCGAATGAGCAGCAGATGCTGTAGCGCTGAGATGAAGTAGTCCTGCGTCTTGCTTCCACGCAAACGCTGCTGGATGGCATCCACAATCTGGACAGGGTCGTTGAGGTCCTTAACTTCTCCTTCGACGCTGTCCTTGATGCTGTTGTTTTCCTTTTCCAGCAGATCCTCGTAGTCGATGGCCTCGTTGGTTCGGAAATGCTCAACCTGCTTGTCGATGAGGTCGTATTGGAACGACTCCATCTTGGTTAGGATGCGCCTGATGCCGCATGCTGTAAACTGGGCGCGAATGTGCATTCGTAGTTGCAGGTCCTTCTCCGGCGCATCGACAATCATGTTGATGAGAATCAGCGTCGCAACGGCGTATTCCATGAGCAGGTTCTCCATGCCGATGCCACCGCTCCGGACCTCATCACTGGCTCCGACCATACTGCCCATCTTTCCACGCCCGTCCACCGTGACTTCAACAAGCCGCATCCAAGCGTCGAACCGGCCATTTTCTCCTTGTTGTGCCTTGACGGAATCGAGAGCTTGAATAACCTTGAGGTGACCTTCCCCATCGCCCCAATGACACAAGAAAGTGAGCACTTCGCTGACCAATTTGCGAGTTGTCAAGCGCTGGGACGTCAGGGAAGTCGCTAATGCGATAATGACTTGTTGATGGACGAGAGCATCGTCGGCGCCGAACTTGTTGTTCATCAAGGCCTTTAGACACTTGATGATATCGTATTCGCGGTCGAAGTTTCGGTCTGATCTCCCATCTTGTACTGGTCCCATCGCGGTCTTGCGGTTGATCTTCATCAGAACGTTGGTCAACGCGACTTGCCCCTGACACTCGATGAAGCGCTTAACCCAACCAATCTGCTGCGTTCTGAGATTGACCTCCAAACTCCCCAAGCCCTTTGTGTCCAAGCTATTATCCATCACGCGTCGGACGTACCATTCTGGTGAACCCTCCTCGTCCGAGTTGACCAGAATCTCTGGGGCCGCATACTGATTCGGTTTCGCCGTTTGCCTCCTCTTTTGCTCTCCTTGCCACTCGGTCAATCGGTCCTGGTATAGAAGCGTCCATTTCTTGTCCGGCGCGTACGCGACCATCTGTCGGCGAGCCTGTTCGGGTAGGTTGTGCCATCCTCGTTTTTGCATCAAGGCCAAAAACATCTGGCCGATAATTTCGTCGTTGTCCGGCCGGGGGAAATGAAACCCATCGTGTCCAGTGGGCCCCATGCCGGGGAACTTTGTCAGTCGGTGCGAGGAAGGGTGCGTCGAGTCCCTATAGGACATGTGCGAGGAATAGGAACTCTGCGAAGAAGCACTGGGCAGCGCTGGTCTTGATGAGCGATTTGCTGCTAAGTCATAGGTGCCTCCATTACCTGATGAGAATATGCTGGCTTGGTCAGCGGAACTACGACCCGCCGATGTCATGTACGAATCGTATCTGGGGTTGTGGGACCCATTGATTGTGCTCGCCGTGCTTCCGCGAGCAGGCCCTGGTCCCCACTGTTGGTATTGCGTCTGGCGGCCTGTACTGGCCATTGTGATATTTGACTGCGGCGCACGCTGGGCCGACGCATGTGAGCCCGCTCCCCCCGCCATTGTGGACGGGTCGAAGGTGGGATACTGATGAAAGTCGCTTGTAACTTTGTTGAGATGATGCGGCGAAGGACTCGGACGAAGCACCGCTGCTTGATCGCCTTTGGGTAAGTATTCGATGGGCACTGGTGATCGAGAATCGGGTATGCTGTCGTAGGGGATACTCGTCATGGGACCAGCAGTCATGCCGGACTCGGGGTATTGGTCGATCGAGACGACGGACGAGTCGCGATGGTGGCGAGAGGCGCGCGAGTATACGCTGGCCGTATCGGAGTAATCGGCTCCAGCCAGATGGCGACCTTCGTCGCTGGTGTTGCGTTTGTCTTTCCTGCTTCGCGAGAAGAAAGACTTTCCTCCTGAAGATTGTCTCGACTTGTCGGTGGAAGACATGACAGTCGCAGAACGGGGAGGCAGGTGAAACACCTGGCCCTCTCACGTAAACCTCGATCGATTGGGTGTCTCTTCAGATTCAGAACTGACGGATCTGGGTAATAGTTCGGGCGAGAGGGATGGCCAAGGCCGGTCGCATGATTGAAGTCCTCTAGCCTACGGACGTGGAGCCTTTCGGAGGCTGGTTGGGATAGCAAGTTGCAATGTGGTGCGTTGGAATCTCTGTCTGCATGAATCGGTTATGTTTTAGCATGTCTTCTGCCCAAGTTTGGATCGAAGCAGACAGAGGTTTGGGACTTGAGACCAGGGACTGAAAGGAGGGGGTCCCCTGGGGCACTCGACGTACCTCTCTCTGGTTACCCTCGAAATGCGACAATGGTGGTATAGTATAAAGAGGCAAAGAGGCTGATTAATCCTTCGGTACTTGTTCTCTTTCTCGAGCAGAATTGTTTCTGAGTAAAAGGACGTAAGGTAACAGGTAGGCGGCCGAAAAAGTTGCGCAGGTTGTAGCGAGCGCCGTGGGACGGAGCAGGGGTTTCGGAATATGAACAAAATGGAATCGCGAAAAGCAAGTGGTGCGTCACAAAGAGTGTGTGGTTGGGTTGCCAGGTATGAAGCAAAGCCGGGACAGGTATCCGAATCCTGCCACGGCGGGTTCGCAGGCTGACGAACTGCAGATGGGTCTGACGAGCTGACGATGATGATAGCCTTTGGCCGTGTGTATGTTGTGACCTTGGACCAGGTTTCCCACGTGAGGGGGGGAGGAGAGAAGGGGAAACGAGGAGCTGAGATACTGCTCGCTCGCGCGTTCCGTCGAGAACCCGTTCCTCCACAAACCAGCCTAGGCTCTAGTAAGGTAGGTATCTAAACAGGCAATCCAGGGCGTTGGCTAGGCGGCAGTTGAGCAAATAGACTACCGAATTTAGTGGCCAGCGGCAGCCAGCAGCAACAGTGGCAGCAGTTCCAGCATGGGATGATGTGGTAGCCAATGCAGGTTTGCTTTTGGGCGGCGGGTTGTCTCGTCGCTGTGAAGACGACGTTGCAAAGTGCGGAGTCCCCTGATGAAACGGGGCTCGACAAGGGGCCGCGATTGACTTGACACTTTAAGGGCAGCAGAATTGCGATTTCTTCTGCGGAAACTGCCTGAGCGTTCTGGGGTGGGAGGAAGAAGAGGATGGGAGGAGAAGGCGTTGGAGGCGAGGCCTGTGGGGGATGTCGGACGGCGCGAACTGCAAGTCTCGAGGTCTTGGCTACTAAGGTACCGGCCAGTTCAGTGCGTTGCAGTAGTGACAGCTGGACTGGAATGGGTGCAGGCACGGCTAGAGATGTAGTGTATCTGGACGGGATGGATACGAGAAGATTATGTGAATGGGAGGGGCGAAGAGAGAGAAAGAACCCAATTCAGACAGAGAGGCAGGATGGAGAAGGTGAGAGAGAGAGATGGAGAGGAAAGTCGAACGCATGCGGCGCTGGCGTTGGGCGGTGGGGATGTTCTGTTGGCGCGCTTGACTTGAGAGAGAAGTTGAAATGCGCGATAATATTGTCCAAGGTACTCCGTACTCTGTATCAAAACCGAAGTGCGAAGGAGTCAGTGGGCTCGTGGAAAGGCTCAAGATCCAATACCTATGCATCCGCATTCAATGGCACACCGCACCCATAGAATGGTTAATTAGTATTGGCATGCGATGCTACGGGGCGCCGCATCCTGCTGCGTCCTTCAGGGGTTAAGACCGAGGGACGTGGACTCGAACGAGTTCAGGAAGGCGCGAAGAGGGAGAGGAGAGTCCGGCGACGAGTAACCCAAGTCCGTGGGTTGAGCCAAATCAAATGCGCCAAAGATCGCCATCGGCACCTGCAAGTCTCGTGCTGGGTTCACCAACGATGCGTCAAGCAGCTGGTCGAGAGAGAACTTAGACATACCATACCATACCTAGTTGCCTCGTAGGTTGCCTACCTTATCGCCGACGCTCAATCATTGACATTTGGCTCTCAACCAGTCGCATTAGCCATAGCTTGGAGTACCTTCACACCTCACATGTTTAGTCGATTCTTCATGTCGCAATCCCTTCTTCGCATTCGTCCGTCTGTAAACGCCCAAAAGAGCCAACACTCGCACTCTCCTTGCGAGGATTTCTAGACTGCCCATTCAATGACCCAATGGGCCCCCTCATTGGGCGGGTTCCCAAAGTATGGGCGGGCTGGTCCCTCCCCGAGTCTCCAGGCAGGCTCCCCTAACCCTTCCGCAGACCCTCCGTTACGGTGGTGCTGATGCTAAAGATGGCGACAAGAACCCTGAGGTCCAATTACAATGCTTGCCCTGTCTGTCCGTTTTGAGCCAGAGAGCCCTCTCGAACCATGTACCTCCACATGGAAAGGTGGCGGTGGGGTGACAAGGCATCGTCCCGGGCGGTCCACCATTGAGGCCCAGCACCGTAAGCGATATTTGATCGAAAATCTCGGGAGCCTCGACTATTACCGTATTACGACGACCTGTCTGCTTACAAGTACACTAGTAAAAGAGTAATAGAGCAAACTTTTGGTATTTGCTCCTTAGTCTCGTTTGCGGCTTGCCCTGTCGATATCGTACGAGACTGGCATTTCCACTGAGCGTTGCTTTGTTGATGCAGGAATAGAAACATCAACGACAATCCCACAGTAGCACGGTGGTCCTAAATGATGCCAATTCTCGAGGTGTCTTATCTTCGGCTCTCGCTTGAGCATGTCAGATAAGGGTCCCGGGGAGTCCGCAAAAGTAAGTCCCGCGACTCGACCTTTTGAACAACGAACTTCACCTGCCAACTTAGGTAAGTAAGGAACGGAATACTATGGATACTCGTCAACGTCTGTACGAGCACTAAAAGATGAAATGCAGGAAAATATGACAGTATTGCACCCTAGGAGGTATCACGTTGACAGCCAGTTTCTAGTCACTCGCGACACATCCCGCTCCCTCCATGCTAAAAGGCGTTCGTGAATAGAACTATCGAAAGCGCCTGTCAGTGTCAGGTACGGGCAGCTAAGGTACCTAAGTTACTTCCATTGTCCGACCGCTTGCTGGCAGGATGCGCGCAATCGACAGCTTTTCTAGTGGACCCATCCAGGTCAGGTAGCCTGTCGTTCCTGTGTCCTCCATTCGTACCTAGCTGCCATACCTGGCGCCGGCCGGGGCCAAGTGGCTTTTTGATTGCGTATGCCTGTCAACCTCCACCGTGTTGCTCTGCTGCTTTGCTCCGTGTCACGTCAACACCACCTGGGCAGACAGCTTGACAGGGCCGCCTCTTTTGGCTTTAGCCTGGCGTCGTCCACGCTCGCCGGCGGCAGTCCTCAGCTAAGCTTGCTCATAACCGTAGCCTTGTCATCATTCAGCGCAACACACCGAATCCCCGGGAACTCTGTCCCACCAGGACGCAAGGTCGACAAATATCTACGCGACATCACCGCCAGGCCCACCATGGGCACCACGATGTCAGTCATTAAGGTGCGCTTTCATCCTGCTGCAATCAAGCTTCAAATCTCTCTCCGCGATTGTCTCCCGATAGATCTCTTGAGCTAACCTTTTGTCGTCATATGTCTAGACCTTGATCGTGCCTGCCATCATCTCGCTCATTCTTTTCCTCGTTTCGACCTACGTTGCCCTTCCGCTCTGGCGCAGATGGCGCAGTCGCTATAGCCAATATCTGCCTCTCGATACCATATCGACCTCGACTGTGTCATTACGACACCGCGTGCAAAATGCGATTGCAAGGATGATGGTCCCGTCAACCTGGCGGCGGAATGCTCATGAACGACTCGTCATCGCGACCGACGCTTCCGAAGACGGTTATTCGTCAGAAGATGGCGAGGAACTTGGGGAGGTTGGTGAAGATACCCGGAGAGCTCTGACAGAAGATGCTCGGCGAGACAGGCATGACAGCACAAGACGCTTGAGCCGAGAGTAAGTCGAGAAATGCTCCCCGCCTCCGTGTTTTTTTCTTGTCGCATGGCCTCGTAACTAACACATGTGTCTCTGCGCCAGCCTGGAAGAGGGCTTTAGAGATGACAGTGACGATGAAGATGATGGAGCTGGTAATAGGCGGTAGTCATCAATCTAGTACGCACTTCAGCCTCGCTCCCATGTACCGGATGCCTAGCACCGTTACCGGTCACGAGGACACTCAGCTGAATATTCGCCTTGCCTCTCCGTCGTACACATGCCTTGTTGCCGCATAGAACCCCGTTTCTTCCGCCCTGCATGCAACGCGGGTGGTGGATGGACATGGGCACGCGAACTGGCTAGCCTTCGGCCGAGTTGGCCGATCTAGTCAGGCTGTCACCAAGAGCTAAGCCCACGATGTCTCTCTCGGCAATCGCTTGTTCCAGGGAAGTCTGTCATGTCAAGCGACCTAGATCTCCTACTTCGATCCCATACATGTTCAAGTTCTGGTTCCGCATTACTAAGGTAGGTATTCGGCAAACGTGGGAACCAAGTGGCGATAAGGGGTGGCTAAAACTGCATACATTTCAATGCTGAAATCAACATCAGCTGAACCTTATGCCGCCTGCCAACCTGCCTCACTTTGGTCGACTGTCTCGCTCCATCTCTGCTCTGTTTGGTCTGAGTTGGGGTCAGGCGCAACCACATGTCCGAAACAAGCACCGCTCAGGCGCCCGTGTTTCCGTCCTGCAGGTCTCTACACCTTACCTAGCTTGGCCTGCCATGTTTCTCTCTTTCGCTATCGGAGACGGCGGCTCTAGTATCCTTTTTTTTTCTTCTGCCCCTCCTCAGCATGGCATCTTACTCTTGTTTAGTGTAATAAGGAGTGGGATGAAATGGTGGAGGTCAGCAACACCGAAACGGTTCCTCTTCCTGGAGGACTGGGAAGAGGGGCACGCATTCCTTCTGACAAGCGTCAAGCGTCACAAGCTCTCCAGCCAATACATGATGTTTCCCAAAAAGGTCAGACCAGGACGAAATGCCGCCAGCGCACATGTCAAGCATAGCCCAGCGAGTCGACGGCACACCTTGTACTCAAGGTATGGCTCCGTGCACCATGCCTTTTTTTCCTGAGAAAGACATGGCTGACCCGGTAGAGGATCCGGAACGGTCCAACGGCGGAGGTCAATGTCGAGCCATCCATCTGCAAGGCACGATTAGCTTTCCTAAAGTCAGTGGCTCTTCCTGTCCGGGTGTTCGTATCCCTTTTCCCTTCTTTGTTATGTTCCTCGTCGTCTTTGTTCATCACTGTTCGACCGCCGTTTGGTCTAGCAACAAAGGCTTCGGTTAGCCCGGACTCGTTTTCCTCTAGCAAGTTTCTGTGTTTCCGACGCTGGGTCTTATAGCGAATTCCATGTCCCTCTCCCGCTGGAGACGATGAACATTTTCAAATCTGTTATGCGGAAGCAGGAGATGGCTTCGAATCCCGCTGCCGACGACACCTGCTGCGCAATATGTTACGAAAAAGTAGGCGAGGCTAAGGAGGAGGGCGACAAGGAGGTCTGGCGATATCTCCCCTGCGGCCACCGCTTCGGCGGCGACTGCATACAACACTGGCTCGGCGTCGCCAGCGTCGACGAGCCGCACTGCCCTTGGTGTAGGGTGAGCATGCGGTGCGACTGTGGACATCCCGTGGTGCCGACGACAAAGCCGACGCGCAATTACATGTACTGGGGTTGGATGCCGTGCGAGATATGTCACACGCAACTACAGCGTACTCGCAAAACATCCAAATACTTTCGTGGTCAGCTTCTACCGCGGCTCAACTCTCTCATCCACTCGCTCGATCACAACATGGCGTCGATTCCTCAAGAGGTGCCCAAGGAACAGGAAGAAACACCAACAAAAGAACCCTGGGAGGATCGCGAAGTATGGAGAAAGAAGTGGACCGAGCATTTTATCCAAGAAGATCGGAAAGCTTCTGGGTCGAAATCGCCAAAGAAATAACACCAGTGGGTGATTGTTTCCGTCTCTTGGTGAGATCGGAGATATCAATATCGCGGGGTCTAAGCAGAGACATCGCGATTTCTTTGGCGTTGAGGAAGCTCGGCTTCACACCCCCGGCGTACACAAGTGATGAATACACAAGGGATAGGAATGCATGGCGGTGGTTCCTAAGGGCCGATAGACTATGGCACCACAGCGGCTGGCAGGACTGGCATTATGACAACCAAGCCAGGTCTTCACGCAATAGTTTGACGGGAGCATCATGATTTGGGCGAAGCCTCATCAGTCTTCTTATGTCTTATGAGACAGCAGATGGTATAGGTGACGGATCTCATTTGTCCAATACCTGTAACGAATTTCCAGCTTTTTACAACAAATTCAATCAAATTCTATTTTCTCATGTCATGTTCGAAATGAAAATTCGATGTTATCTTGAAGCTAGACTTTCTACATAGACTTAGAATGCTTCACGGTGATGCAGTTCACCAACCAACTTGACTACACTCCATATCTGTCGACGTCACTCTGGGACAGCCAATACACCCTCTGACGTCCATACCAACCACCACGTTCTCAGAGATGTTGAATCAAGAGAAGGGGGGAAAGCGAAGCCGGTCGGGACATTATCCAACTGGCCGGCCCTCAGTGAGAGCGGTCTCGCCATCTCTCGTCTTCTGCGCATCCTCGGGGACCTCAGGCGATGGCGGGGTAGGCACGAACTGTGAATGGGGTGAGGTCTCTCAATCTGGACACGCTAGGCAGGGGTAGATGCCCCGCGCTAAAGACTCCCGTGCCGTTTTTCTGCAGACCATCTTTGCTGGCAGCACCTGCAGTGCAGCGTGGCGGCAGGCATGTACCGCCTTTGCCCGGTGCCTTCTCCCTGCCAGTGGCAGCACCACGCACGACGGCGGACCACACTGCACCGCACCTCTGAAAGGCAAGATCGCGTCGTTCCTCTTTCCACTTTACGCGTCTACACCAAAAGAGGCAATCAGCTTCCCCCCACCGTACCTCTCCGCCGTTAACCACCATCCTTCCCCCAGTCAACTGCAGCCGGGTGTTTCTCTCTATTTGTGTGACTCCCTGTACCTATAAGGTTTTTCTGTACGGACGGACGGACGGGCATCTCGCTGAGAGATCGAGATTTCGAAAATGCGATTCAAGACGGAGCTCAAGAATATCCGTACCTTTTCCAGTGCGTCTGAACCCACAAGACCCCATGCCTGCCTACCTGCTTGCCGACCGGCAGGCTTTGCTGCAACCTCGGGTTCGTTTATTGACTCTCTGGCCGTTCCCTTTGCTTTACAGAGCTCACCGCTGCCCTCAACTCGCTCGAGAAGATCGCATGGGTTCGCCTAGACGATGAAACAGCGCGCTTCACCGTCATTCCCGACACGGGTTCTCAAGTCTGGTCGTAAGATTGCTGCACTCTGACTCTGGTAGCGTCTTGAGAAGCTTTGGTTGCTGAATCATGGCTCCAGTTCTCTACCCATGGACTTCATCTTTGACAGCTACCACATCCAATCCGCCGAAGACCACAACACCATCAATCTAGAGCTGCCACTGCAACCCCTCCAACGTGCCCTTCGTTCTGCACTCAACAGCACCTCCGCCTCGTTGCGTCTGACCAAGAAGGATGGAATCCCCGTGCTGTCCATGACCATCACGACCACGACGAACACCTCTTCAGGGTCAGGTCTCCCGGGCCGCAACGCCGCTTATGCCGGTCTCGAAAACGACCCTTTTGACGAGGACGACCAGGGATTTGCCGCTGAGCACCTAGAGACGTCTCTGCGTCGCGAGCGCGAGAAGATCATCACCCAGGACATTCCCGTCCGGGTGTTGCATCCAGAGACGGTAGAGACAATCATGCAGCCCACTGTGCGCGAGACAGACGTGCACATCACCATGCCGCCTCTGCTCCAGCTCAAGGCCATTTCGGACCGCTTCACCAAGCTCGCGCTCTCGTCCGGCACAAATTCCCGCGTGAGCCCCAAGCTGGAGCTCAGCGCCAACATGTTTGGCAACCTGAAGCTGCGGATCGCCACCGAGGCCGTTGACGTCTCGAGTACGTGGTCGGGACTCGTCAATCCGGAGTTGGACCCCACGCAGCTGGAGATGCCCGTTGACGAGCACCCGAGCGTCAAGTTCAAGGAGGGCGGCCCGGAGAAATGGGCAACGGTGAGGGTGGATGGCAAGGACTGGAGCCGGGTGTTGAGTGTAGGGCGGCTCGAGGGGAGAGTCGTTGCTGCTTTCGCAGACGACCATGCTTTGATTCTGTACGTTTACGTGCCGCAGTATGACGATGCTTCGGCAGACGACGCCGTACTTACCGTAAGAGATCCCTTGCATGCGCATGCACCTGAGAGTGAATACTGGCTGATCACTCACAGTACTACGTTACATCGTTCAGCGCATGAGTTGTGTTTACGACTTTGGACTGGGAAGGGTGGCATTGTAATTGTTTGGAACTGGCGTTCAGGTTGATAAAAAGTGGGTGCACTGAGGTAGAGGTCGGCTTTTCTGTGAGCCACAGGGGCTGGATCAATCTGCAGACCAGTTTTGAAGTTGAGGCCGATGATGGGCTACAGATTTGCATGCGATGATATCTAGCGAGTCAGTCATTCAAATGACCAGGCACATATTGATTGCTGGATCTCGTTTAGCAGTTTGAGAGTGAATGTACTTGTGAACTGCGACTTCTAATGCGCTTGTTTGCGCATCAAAAGCGACGTGGGTATCATTGATCTGTTTCTTCGGTCTCACCACTCTCACCGATCTACCGTCCTTCATCGACGGCGCTCATCAGGACTGCGCCGACGGTCCCTCGAACGCGGCCGCTGACCCTCTCTACTCCTGCTCCGCCGTCGATGCTCTCTCGGCCCGCGCTCTCGCTCACCACCCTCACGGCTCCGGCTTCTCGCCTTACGATGATGCCGCCTCGCCCGCCCCTCATCACGGTCGCGATCCCTGCGTTCTCGACCACCGTGCTCCCGTCCTTCACCACGGCGATGATGGTGCCTCTCTTCCCCCCCACGGTCCCGATCCCGACTCCGCCTCCTCTCGCCATCTCTCCTCCTCTCTCTCCGGGGGCTAGGACTCCGACTCCGCCTCCGCCTTCTCTCACGATCCTCATCTCGATCCCTGCGCTCCCTCTTCTCACTGACAACGAGCCCGCTCTTGGCCCCTTCCTCCTCCACAGGCTTCGCATCGCCAGCACCACCACCACCAATCCCCCTGGACCCGCTCACCTCGACTGCATTCGCTCCCGACGAATCCCGCTGCGGCACAGGCAACCCCAGCGCGCGCGCGAGCGCGTCCTCCTCGGCCTCTTTGATCTTGCGCAGCTCCTCCTTGCGCGCGCGCTCCTGCCTCTCTTGTTCCGTCTCGCCTTCGACCGCTCCTGCATCGTCGCCGTCGCCTTTGGCGTACCAATTGAGGTCGCGGCCCTTTTGCCAGCGGCCGACGGGGGCTTTGAGGCTGTGGCCGAGGTAGTTTTCGCGGTGAGAGGAGTTTGCGACTTCGTCCCAGCTGAAGTTGACGCCGCCGCGAGAGCCGGATTTGCGGACGCTCGAGAGGAGGTCCATTGTTTCGGGGACTTTCAAGTTGATTTGATGTTTTCTTTGGGTATCGGTGCTTTGATTTTCTCGTGATGTGATTCTTTTGGTAAGGGGTTTCCTTGAGTGTTGTTGGTATTTGATGATGGTAGGTTTGACAAGGGTTGTCGTTGGGTAGGTAGGCTGCATTCGAATTGAAGGTCTGGGAGCTTAAAGATTGTCGGCAGGCAAGGCCATCACGTGATGACCCCCCGCAAAACACCCCTGACGATCCAGCCCCTGCAGTCGAACAAGCTCCGGCCCCACGATACGAAAGTTGGAGAGCTTCCACTCCGGCTCAGAAAGCTCCGTAATCCGCCCTCCGAACGTCACCCACGCCCGCCCAGCATAACACGACTCCCGTCGTCAACAACTTATTCAACATACCTCCTCCCAACCAAGGACCAAATTTCTCCACTTCAGAATGGCCAACCCAAACGACCCGCCTCTGGACGAGATCCAATGGCGCGCCCCCGACATCGCAGCCTCGATGCAGGGCATCCACTCCAACAGTGTGCTCTTCTACTTTGCCGAGTCGCCCTTTTTCGACCGTCAGTCCAATAACGCCGTCATCACGAACCAGGCCATGTTCAACCCGGCCCTTCTCAAGAACCTCGCCACGCGCGAAGCCTTCGAGAGCGAGCTCGACAAGATGGCCGGGCTCGAGTTCAGGGTCCTGCACGCGCCCGCCGACATGGTCATGGGCACGGGCGTGTGGACGATTGTGAAGCAGACGAGGCAGAAGAACCTCGACCGCGGGCGGATGGAGACTAAGCCTCTGGCATATTACTTTGTCGTCGGGGAGAATATCTATCAGGCGCCGACGCTGGGCGATCTTCTCAGTTCGAGGATTGTAGGTCCCTTCCCTGCCTCTCTCACGAAAGAGATGGCACTCTTTTTGAAGAATGATTGAGTTCTAACATAACATCAGGAATCAATCGCCGAATCAATGAGAAAGGTTCTTCCCGCGGCCGACAGCGTACGCAAGTGGACGCCCTCCCTAGGCCATGTCTATACCCAACCGACGCCCCCCTCAGCCCTCGCCCGCGCGAAAGATGGAGCAGCAGCAGCAGCAGCAGCAGACACACCCGCCGCCGAAGGCGCAACGAATGGTACCAAGAACTTGGCGGGCGCCAAATCAGGCAGCAACGGCAAAAAGGACTCGACGGCCAACGCGCTGGACAGGCTGGCAGAGGAGTCCTTTGCGATCCACATGCGCCACGGCGGCGACTACTTTGACGAGAACCCAATCACGGGCAGGCCCGGCGACTTCCACTTTGCGAGCACGGGGCGCAAGGACAAGATTGCGCCGCCGCCGCCGCCATCGCAGGCTTCGCAGGCGCAACCTAAGCCGGTGATCAATACTAAGCTGGCGGAGGAGGCCAAGAAGGAGGGGAAGGAGGGCAAGAGCCCCAAGACGCCCAACGGGCCAAAGCCCAAGAGGAAGAAGAGCAAGATTGCGACGCCGGCTACGACGCCTGGTCCGTCTTCGTGAGAATGAGTTCGGGAGGGTAAAAGATAAAGAAGAGATGGATTCGACTCACTCATAGCGTTTTGATTTAGTAATGATACCCCCAATCTGTCCAGGAGAGCATGCCTTCTACTATTTTTCTAGAGAGAAAAAATTAGAAGACAAAAAACAATAACGGTCCGACCGAGCGAGGAATCGAACTTGCATCCCGAAATAGACAGGAGACTTCACTGTCTAGTCGGGGCCTATACAGCCCGATTAACCCCTCGACCACACGGCCCAGGTGCTTGTTGTTGAGAAATGGTGATGATTCATCGGCTATAGAGCCTCGCGGGTATCCTGCTCGTATTCTGAGGCGTCCCGCGCAGTGAATCGGGCTCGCCTACGCTTCTCACCTCAGAACCTATCATGGCCTATGATTAGGAAAGAGGCGGCTCAGAATTCTCGATCATAGTTATTTTTTGATATGTTCCCAAGTTGACTATGGGTGCTTGGAAATGTTCACCCTGCATGAATAGCTCGGAACTTGATTACCTTTGTGTGTATACTAACTTATATCTTTTCATCTTGTTGGGTTGATATTATACTACGATCCTTTACTCATGCAGAGCGTTTGCTAGAAAAGGCATCCTATTCAGCCTCTCCCTCATATTTACCAGTTGTATGGTAGGTGACCATGTATTTGAAGCTAAGACTTGGAATCTATGGTCTTTGGCGCTCCTCAAAACTCCCGATAAGTGGTATCAAACATCATTGCTAATCTAATGAGCGTCTCTTAAACCCCCTTTTACTCCTCCTCCTCCTCCTCCTCATCACCCTTCACCCATCCACTACTCTCCCTCAACCACATCTCCCAACTCTGCAACCTTGGCTCCATCCCCCTCAACATCTCAACATCAGCCTTATACCCTTCCTCCTCAAACCACTCCATACTCCTCCCGGCATCCTCAAAAGCCCACCTCACACCCCGACCGACAACCCCCCACGTCCTCGGCATCCTCTGCCCAACAACCCTCTTAAACACCTCCTCCGCCTCGTCGAAACCAATCTCATCACCAGCGAGCCCCAGCGCCCTACCACCCCATCCTCCTCCTCCTCCTCCCTCGGCCTTGGTACCGGGACCTTCTACCAGCGCCCGAGCCGCAAAGAGCCCGATATCCCTCGCGCTGACAAGCTGCATCTTCCGCGCACCCACCGGCATCGTCGCCCACAGCCCACCCATGACGGAGCCCATGACCCCCGCCGAGGCAGCGTAATTATCCATGAACCCCGCCGGCCTCAAAATTGTCCACTTCGTCGGCGTGCCGCGCGTCTTGTCGCGGAGGTACACCTCGACGCGGTGCTTGGCCGCAAAGTGCGGCACGGGCGTCGGGTTCGTCCACGAGCGCTCGTCACCTCCGCGGTCGACGCTCGAGAAGACGATGTGCGGTACCTTGTGGGCGATTGCTGCGTCGATGAGGGGTATGGCTTGCGCTTCGTCTCCCGGGGGGACGGTCACGAGGTAGAGGGCGGATATGTCTCGGTGGGAGGCGAAGATTGGGGATGGGTTTTCGGGGGTGCCTTGGATGAGGGTGATTGGTGATGATGATGGTGTAGTTGTTATTGTAGATGCTGATGATTGACGGTCTTTGAATACTTTGAGGAGGGCTTGTGATTTAGGAGAGGATGGGGAGCGGGTGAGGGCTAGGATTTGGGGCGGGTTGGGAGCTGAGGCGAGGGCTGCGATTGTTGCGCTTCCCGTCTGGCCGGTTGCGCCGACGATGAGGATTTTTGGTGTTTTGGATGTCATTCTTAGCGATAATTATCCTGAGTTTGGCTTTTATTGAGATTGTTTTTTTAGTGTAGTGAGCAAAAGGCGTCTTACATATAGTCTAGTGAGAGTGTAGATCATGGAGACTTTTCGGGCACTTTGACTGGCGTCGTATCGCGCTAGTCTTTCTATTTTAATACTATACTAAGATGAATCCCACGAGAAGATCACCACCCGAACGACGCTCGACGGGTAGCAAGCATTTCGGAGACTTTGTTATCTTGACTGTAGTCAGTTTCTGCCAAGACTGCGAGATTACGCGTACTACATTCCGCCTTTATTTCGACTTCGATACTTCCAGGACTTAGACAATCCAGCTCCAAGCAATGGCAAAGTGAACGCCATAAGTCTACTTTTGATTGGCACAAGTGACCGTATTTACGGTCTGCGACGTTGTTTCGATGGTCTCCCAACAGTGATATCTAATCACTGATCTCAATCTGCTCGCAAGGCTTGTCTTCAACTGGCTTCTGCGTGGCCAATTTCTCTATAGGCAATTTTCCTGTCCCTCTATGGATCTTTCTCTCTCTCTCTCTCTCTCTCTCTCTCTCTCTCTCTTCTCGCTGATCCTCATTCTGATAATTCAACAGGCTACACCAAGGGAGCCAATGAGGCTCAGCCTTAGTTGATAACGTAGCCGCCGTCAACGGACAACGAGGCGCCGTGGATAAAGGACGCCTTGGAGCTGCAGAGAAACAAAACGGCATCGGCGACTTCTTGCGGCGTTCCTTTCCGCTTCATAGGCGCTACTGCGATCATGGGATCATCTGGTGAGACTTCGCTTGTCATGGGCGTGCTGAATTGCCTCGATCAGCTCTCATGATCAACACCTTTCATCCAGTTAACTCCCGGAACTTACTCAATGATCCCTGGGCACACACAGTTGACGCGGATATTATACTTTGCATACTACTAGCTGTCAGACTGAAGTCTCTCATCGTAGAAGGAAACCCACATCGATTGCATCACTTCTCGTCATACTTAAGATAGCTGCCTTGGAAGCGTTGTAGGCCGCTATCATCGTTGTCAGATATTGCCCTTCACACATGAAAAAAAAGGAGGCATTCTCGGCTTGGACTCACGTGTCTCTGGCCGGCTAACTAGGCTGAGATTACTCGCAACATTGACAATGACGCCCCGGTTTCCTGGTCTGCCGTCGTGTGTCTTCATGGATTCCTGCTTGATCATGTGCGTGAGCTCCGCCCGCGAGCACAACCATGTGCCGCGGTAGTTGATGTTGGTGATCTCGTCAAACTCGGCGGGTGTCAGGAGGTGTGACGGTGCTTTTGGTCCAAACATGCCTTCCAATTGCCGTCAATAATCTTCCCGATATGTTGCTTAGGGATGTCAAACAATAATCCTGGATAGACTCACCAGCACAGTTGACTGCATAATCGATCCGGCCCCATTCCTCCACAACATTCTCCATGCACGAAGCAATGTCCTCGTCGTTCCGGTTGTCAATCTCCATGACAAAAGTGCGCGTCTCCCCGTTGGCCTCCCGGCACATACGAGCTGTCTCCAGCGCGCCGTCCTCATCTCTGTCGAGCAGAGCGATGCGCTTGCAGCCCTCACGGGCGAATGAGATTGCCACCTGGCGGCCGATTCCTGAGTTCACTCTGTCAGCAGCAGTCTCAAAACCTATCTCATTCTCCCTCTCGCCATATTTTTGGGTTCATGACTGGATGTATAGCATTCAAGAGTTATTCAATATACTAAGGTGTGACCTTACCTGAAGCAGCGCCGGTGACGACGGCGACGCCTGAAAAGAGTGTCATTTTCATTTCAATCTCGCGGAGAGCGCTCATGCATTCGTCAATGAGGGCTTCGTTTTCCTTCCAGGTCGACCTCTGCTGTTGCAATATCATCGGAGCCAAGTCCGGAAGGGGGAAGGGGGGGATTTCTGTAAGTAAGGACGATCTTATGACGGGTACGGGATTGCGTAAGAGCTCTCTAGCCTACACTCGAGCAGAGTGAATTCCAAATCGGAACTGCTCTGTAAACAAAAAATAGGTTTGGCGTATGAATCAGCAACAAGGAAAGCTTGTTGGTCGTGGTCACGATAGTCGGCTATACCCCGCGTACAATCTTAGGCTTCACTTCGGCTTCGTTTAAAGAAATAAGAAATTCGGTATTCCTTCGGTGAACGAATAGAATTGGCAATAAATTGGCACTAGAATGAAAGAAAAGCATCCTTCTCGAAGGAAAAAGACAGTACAAGTCAAGTCTCGCTCGGGCCCGGCCACGGGCGTGCATCTGCAGCTTTACCCGCTTCACAATTTCCTTCGTCCGAAGTTCCCTTAGGGCCACCCGTGTCCGAGTGGTATGCCGTGTATTACTCGAGGCCTGAATCTCAGACTAACCTTCCGCCCCCTCTTCACCCGCGAACGAGCCGATTGAAAACAGAAAGACGGAGAAGGAGGGAGGAGAACGCATGGTCCATACTGAGTACAAAGAGAACCCCCGTGTCGGAAGAAGGTTCAGGTTTATGAACCGATTCTACCGACCCAGCTCGCCACGTGTTTGGATCTCCGGCCGGTTTTGACTCTTGTTTTGGGAGGTTTGGCATTGGGGCGAGGAGGAGTTTCCATCTAAAGGTACCGTCTCACCCGATTCGCTCATGTAGAAGGGGCTCTGCCGGTACGACTGGCGAATGACTGAATCAGAGGGAGAATAAACTGACTCTAGTCGGCTGCGTGTTGTAGTTTCGACTAATTTAGAGAACCCGGCTTTTTTTTTAAACCTCGGAGACGAACGATTCATTGTCGCCGCTAAGGTAGAGATGATAGATTAACAGTGAATGTCTTGTGACCCATTCTATTCTTTTGAAAATATGCTTATATCAACTTTTGATTCCCCCGCGTTTCATTCAACAACCCAACCCTTACCGGCAACCCTGCGCTGCACGACCTTCTTCATCGGCAATGGCCACCCCTGGCCACCGACCCCCTCGGCCCTGAGGTACGGCACAACCCACACCTCGCGCGTATTCGCCGTCGACGAAATCTCCTTGACCGGCTTCCCGTAGCTCACGAGCGGCGTGCCCTTGGCCAAGCTCGCGAGCTGCCCGCCCGTGACGTCCGTGAGCGCAAGCATCCTCGTCTTGGGCGTTTTGTTCACGTCAGCGCCCTGCGTCGCGCGCTGGAGCTGCGAGTACACGACGAATTCGGGGCACTCGGCCGGGCTGAGGTGGGCGAGCGGCGATGTCGGGTGGATGTAGATGTACTTCTCCGCGCCGTGGCCCACGCCGAGCGGCGAGAGCGGGATGTAGGGCACGTCGATGGCGCGGCCGGGCTTGCGCGTCACCTCGGGCGGCACGGGGGCCTTGTCGGCGCGGAGGGCGACGTGGTCGATGAAGCCGGCGGCCACCATCTGCTTGAGGTAGGCGACCTGCTTGTCTGAGGGGGCGTCGAGCCGGTCCTGGTATTTGAGGTTCTTGAAGGCGGGGATGTTGGCGCGGAGGAGCTCGGTGATTTGCTGGCGCAGCTGCGTCACCTCCTTCATGACCTTGTACCGGACAAAGTGGTCCTCGCACCACTTCTCCGTCGGGTCGTGGGCGTACTCGCCGACGACCTGGAGGAGCTTGATGGCGTCGGACCTGTCGTCCAGGTAGCAGAAATTCTTGTGCGCGGCGTTGAAGAGGCGTCTGATGTTGGCCTGGCGATCCTCCGCGATGATGTCGGCGGTGCGGCGGAACTCGGACTCGTCGCGCGCCTCGAGGGAGGGGATAGCCTGGTGCTCCGGGACAAAGACCTCGGCGGCCGAGAGCGCTGCTACCATCATGATGGTATACGGCAGGCAGTCGTGCTGGTGGCCGACGAGGAGGATGCGGGCGAAGCGGGGTGAGAGCGGGAAGATGGACATTGTCGATCCGATCTTCGTGATTTGGCCTTCCGGCGCAATGGCCGAGAGGTAGGTGAGCAGCTTCTCGGCCTGGCGGAGACCCATGCGGTTCGGCGGCGTCGGGAAGGGGAAGTTGACAACGTTGGAGAGGTTCATCGCCTTGAGCTGGAGCACGACGCCGTCAACGGGCATCCGCAGGATCTCGGGGTCTGTGAACTCGGGAAGGTCTCTCTCGTAGACGGCCGAGGAATAGAGTCTGTAGCAGTGACCGGGCCCCGTACGACCGGCACGACCAGCACGCTGACTGGCACTGGCCTTGCTGATCCAGCCGATTTCGTAGGTTTGTACTCCGCTCAAGCGGTCGTATTGCCGCTCTTTGGACCGGCCACAGTCAAAGACGTAACGGATGCCAGGAATCGTCAAACTGGTTTCCGCAACGTTGGTTGCCAAAATAACTTGACGATGATTTTCGGGAGGATCCTCAAATACTCTCATCTGCTCTTTAGTTGGCAGAAGAGAGTAAAGGGGTAAGACTTGCATCTTCATAGGCCCCGTTTCTCCCTCCTCTCCTTCAATTTCGAACTCCTTGTCGTCCTCGTGCTCCATGTCCTCATCCTCACCGAGGCCGTCGTCGATGTCGGCACCGATGGTATCGTCAACCTCGCCAAAGTCGATATCTTCGACCTCCATAGGCGCGTCGGTGGCTGAGATCTGGACCTTGGGTGCGCTGGCTTCGGTAAAGCCACCGAATGCTTCCCTGAGGCGCTTGCTCAGATACCTAATCTCATTTTGACCGGTAAGGAACACCAAAAAGCCCCCGGGCGGTAGCTTCCTGTGACCACGCATAATCTTGTTAAAAGCCTCCTCGACGAAGTCAGACTGTGTCCGCCTTGCAAAATGAATCGTGACGGAATGCTGTCGTCCTTCGACTTCGACCACGGGAGGTGGGGTGGGGAATAGTGTGGTGTTGTTGGTCATGTCTTCGACTCTCAGCGTCGCAGACATGATGATGATCTTGAGCGGCTTGATCGAAGGATCAACCTTGTCATCGCCCTTGCGAATGTTGTTGATACGGCTCAGCATTCCAATGAGGATATCTGTATTGACGCTTCTCTCGTGGGCCTCGTCGATGATGATTGCCGAGTACTTCTTCAGAGAAAAGTCTTGCCCCATCTCTCGCAACAACACACCATCCGTCATAAACTTGATGGCCGTCTTGGCCGAAGCTGTGCCCTCGAACCGGATCTGGTATCCAACTCTGTCCGAGTGATCACCTAGTTCTTGCGCGACACGTTTTGACATACTCACGGCAGCAACTCGTCGGGGTTGCGTGACGCCAATCATGCCCGGAGTAGCAGAGCCAGGAGAACCATAACCAGCCTCATACAAGAATTGCGGCACCTGGGTCGTCTTACCGGAACCTGTAGAGCCGCATACGACGACGATGTCGTTGTTGTGAATCATCTCCATAATCTTCTGTTCCTCAGCGACTACCGGAAGTTTCATGCGGACTTCCTGAATCTCTGGCGTTCTCGTCACAGCAACAGCGTATGCCTTGCGTGCAAGGTTTGTTGTCGGTTGTAGTTCCTGAGGTAGTGGTTCCTGTTCAAGCGGACGTGGCTCAAAATTCTCTGGTCTAGGAATTTCCAGTGCCGTGGAGGCCTCTGTTGTTCCTTCGAAACCAAGGGCTTCGTTTCTTTGCGCAAGAGCCCAGGCCTTGAAAGCAGACTGCCTTGTGCTGGTAGACTCTTCTTCGTCGTCCTCGCTTTCGTCTTCATCTTCATCGTCTTCCTCAGACTCTTCGGGACCTTCGCTTGATTCTTCAGACTCCCCAGCTGAATCTTCGTCCTCATCGCTTGATATTTGCTCTGCGTCATCGCTCAGGCCATTCCATTCGTCCTCTGCATCCTTCGCTTTCTCCGCTTCAGCGATGGAGAATTTGGACGTTACGCCGCCTCTCTTTTGACGCTTCTGAAGCACTGGTCGTCCCGAATCATCGACATCTAATGGACGCTTCAGACCGGAGCCTACAGATGCGGCGGGTTGCGGTTCCGGCTTCGGTGCTGGTGCAGGTGCCGATTCAGGTGCTGGTGCTTGTGGAGGTGATAATGGTGTTGACTTTGCTTTCGCTGCTGCTACTGGCGCAGGTGCCTTGAGTGTGGCCTTGGGAGCTTGCGGCTTGGTTGCCTTTGGAGTCTGTTCTTCGCTATCGTCAGAATCCACCTCGGGCGCCTCCTCTCTCTCCTCATAAAGCAGTTCCTCCGCATCCGCGTCGACTGCCAAGCCGGCATTCTTTTCCCGCAATGCCCTCGTCAGAGCCTGGCGTTTGGACTCCTTGCCCTGGCCGAGAGTCTTGGTGCTCGTGAACAGGCTCGTGTCGACCTTTTGCTGCGCGAGCTTGGCGAGAATTTCGCGATTCTCATCTTTGCGAAGCTTGTTGGTGATGTACTTTTCCAGCCGCTTCGCCTTCTTGCCGCTGGCCTTGGCACCGTCCCCTTGCAACTCGGCCTTGAGCTGCGCTCTCTTTTCCTGGAGACGTTTCTGGTCTTCGGGGAGAATCTCATCCGCATTCGAGTCCTGGAGGATGGTGCCGTTTTCCTTGGCCCTCTCGCGGGCGAGCACCTTGTGCTTTCGTTGTCTTGGGACGAATTTGCCCATTTTGATCTGTGTGACAAGTTCGAATTTGTCTTCAATGTAGATCCTTCGTGGTGTGTGTGGTGCTGCTTTGGACCGAAGCAAAAGTCGCTGGTTCTAATGCAGCCTCTCACCTCACTAGAAAAAGTTTAGGCGGATGAGACTAAGTTTCGTTGCTGATGCAGTTGAGATGAGATCAAGTCGTCAAAGCCTAGAGAAGGGATCAAATTTTGGAAAAAATGCGTCGCAAAACAATTCTTAATACCTCTAGAAAATTGGCATTGTAACGAGGGTATCAAGATTAGGAGATGCACCTAAGGTATAATCTCATGTTTCTCTCACTCAACGCTGAGGGTCGCTAAGACGCGCTGCCAAACTCTGGAAATTTTTG